CTATTCTACTCTATTCTACCCTACCCTACTCTACTCTTCTCTACTCTACTCTATCCTACTCTAATCTACTCTACCCTATTTTACTCTACCCTTCCCTACGCTACTCTACTCTACTCTACCCTACCTTACTCGACTATACCCTACTGTACTCTACTCTACCCTATTCTAGTCTACTCTACTCTACTCTACCTTACTCTACTCTATCCTACCCTACTCTACTCTACCTTACCCTACTCTACTCTATCCTACCCTACTCTACTCTACTCTAACTTACTCTACTCTACTCTACCCTACCCTACCCTACTCTACCCTACCCTACTCTACTCTACTCTACCCTACTCTACTCTACTCTACCCTACCCTACTCTACTCTACTCTACCCTACTCTACTCTACTCTACTCTACTCTACTCTACCCTACTCTACCCTACTCTACTCTACTCTACTCTACTCTACCTTACTCGACTATACCCTACTCTACCCCTACTCTACTCTACTCTACTCTACTCTACTCTACCTTACTCGACTATACCCTACTCTACCCCTACTCTACTCTACCCTACCCTACCCTACCCTACCCTACTCTACTCTACTCTACTCTACTCTACTCTACTCTACCCTACTCTACTCTACTCTACCCAATCCTACTCTACTCTACCCTACTCTACCCTACTCTACTCTACTCTACTCTACTCTACTCTACCCTACCCTACCCTAACCCTACCCTACTCTACTCTACCCAATCCTACTCTACTCTACCCTATGCTATCCTACTCTACCCTACCCTACTCTATTCTATTCTATTCTACCCTGCCCTACCCTACCCTACTCAACTCTACTCTACCCTACCGTATACTCTACTCTACACTGCCCCAGCTTTAAACATGTGTTATTTAGTCTAAACTTACAGACCTGAGCTTTAACCCTCTCCTCAGGGCGGATGGAGGAGCAGTGGCCCTCGTTTCCTTCCGGTCTCGCTCTAATCTCTCAGAATTTTACTTTGGTCCAAAACGACTCGACTGTGATGTCACGCTGTCGGCTTTGGGAGGAGAACGGACTCTTGGACTACGCCTGGACCAATTGAGGACCAGGGTCAAGACCGGGATTTGAGACCATGGACTAGACCAGGATCTGCTGATTTTAAAAATGTTCTGCTGACAATAGCAGATGTATCATGAACCCCACAAGTGGGATGTCATTGTAAATCTTATTTTCTTATCTACATTTATATACAAGTGTAAACAATATCAGACTTTGCATTACAGAGATATAGCACATAATGTGGGCACAAAATAAATCACTTCTGAATACGTTTTTACCTTTGCTCTTTTTCTTTTGCTCTTTTGCTGCATGAATACATCAGACTTCCCTCATCCTTGCTATGGCTCTTTCACTCCGTAAATGTCCATGGAAAAAGAATATCCACTTGTATTTTCCAAAGTTTGAAAAAAAAAATGAAAAATGTGTGTTTATCTTTTGCAAAAAAAAACGTTCTGAAAGAACACAGAGGCTGCTCTTTCTCTGTTAGCGGACTTTCAGCTTTGTTTATCTTCCAAACCCAGGGTAAGCTCGCGTTCTCCAACTCGTTAGCTACAAAATGAGAGCTTCTCTGAGGAGATCTGCGCTCGAGTCCGTCTGCAACAGCCCTGGGAATAAAACAGGCAAACACCTTTTGCGCATGGTTTGTCTGGACTTGTTGTTAGCCAGACGGCTAGGGAAGTGTTCTTTTGCATGATAATTGACAGGTCTAAGTAGCCAATAGGGAAAGCTTTCTAGCAATGGGTGCGACATGGGGGACTCTTTTCATTAGTATCAATAGAATGATGCGTAAAGGCAGTGAGAGAGACTCTGGTCGGAGCAGCGCACACCCTATATACTACTAAAAAATCACACAGATCAGTAATTTAAGTAAAAAATAAATAAATAATCTTTTTTATGAAATGTCAGTAAAGCAATGTGCACCCTAATTCTTAAGCTGAACTCAGGAAGTGTCCGTGTCTAAAGCTGGGGTACGTAAATGTTCCCTTTCATGAACAGCTCATGTTGGTTGTCCCCAAAAGTAAAAGGTGAATCAAACAGATTCAAGAACATTTGGTCTGAACGACAATCATCACATTTGATAATCTTTAACTTTAAATGAAGTGGAATGAAATTATGGCGAGGTGCAGCGAGGACTGGGTCACCAAGGTGGTTGGCAGCCTCCTTGGTGGCAAGGCGCCGGGTGTGGATGAGATCTGCCCTGACTATCTAAAGTCTCTGGATGTTGTGGGACTGTCTTGGCTGACACGTCTCTGCAACATCGCGTGGCGATCGGGGGCGGTGCCAATGGAGTGGCAGACTGGGGTGGTGGTCCCTCTCTATAAGATGGGGGACCGGAGGGTGTGTTCCAATTATCGTGGGATCACACTCCTCAGCCTCCCTGGTAAGGTTTACTCCAAGGTACTGGAGAGGAGGCTATGGCCGATGGTCGAATCTCGGATTCAGGAGGAGCAGTGTGGTTTTGGTCCCGGTTGCGGAACACTGGACCAGCTCTATACTCTCCATCGGATACTCGAGGGTTCAAGGGAGTTCGCCCAACCTGTCCACATGTGATTTGTGGATTTGGAGAAGGCGTTCGACTGTGTTCCCCGGGGTGTTCTTTGGGGGGTTCTTCGGGAGTATGGGGTCCGGGGTCCTCTGCTGAGGGCCGTCCGGTCCCTGTATGACCAGAGCCAGAGCTGTATTCGCATTGCCGGCAGTCCGAGGCCATGGTGCTCGACCGGAAAAAGGTGCCTTGCCCTCTGCAGGTGGGTGGAGAGGTCCTTCCTCAAGTGGAGGAGTTCAAGTATCTCGGGGTCTTGTTCACGAGTGAGGGAAGAATGGAGCGTGAGATTGACAGGCGGATCGGTGCAGCGTGTGCGGTGATGTGGTCGCTGTATCGGACCGTTGTGGTGAAGAGGGAGCTGAGCCGAAAGGCAAAGCTCTCAATTTACCGGTCAATCTTCGTCCCCTCCCTCACCTCTGGTCATGAGCTTTGGGTAATGACCGAAAGAACGAGATCGCGGATACAAGCGGTCGAAATGAGCTTCCTCCGCAGAGTGGCTGGGCGCTCCCTTAGAGATAGGTTGAGGAGTGCGGTCACACGGGAGGAGCTCGGAGTAGAGCCGCTGCTTCTCCAAGTCAAGATACACCAGTTGAGGTGGCTCGGGGAAGACCCAGGACACAGAGGGACTATGTCTCTCAGCTGAACTGGGAACGCCTTAGGGTCCCCCCGGACGAGCTGGAGGAAGTGTGTGTGGATAGGGAAGTCTGGGCATCTCTGCTTAGACTGCTGCCCCCGCGACCCGGCAACGGATAAAGCGGAAGAAAATGGATGGATGGATGAAATGAATTGTGAAGTTAACTCAACATTACTCTGCGATTAATCAACTAAAAAATGTATCGTTTGACAGCCCTAATGTTTACATAAACTAGAAGGCTCTAGCTTTAATATGATGCATCACAAACATGTGACGAGTAAGATGTGTTTTAAATAAAGACATTTGGTTTCCCCAAAGTTAGTGCATGAGCCAAAAGGAGGCGGGTGTTAGAGACCAGGACCAACTGAAACTAAAGGGACTAGACCAGGATCTGCTGAGCCCATGGACTAGACCAGGATCTGCTGAGACTACAGGGACTAGACCAGGATCTGCTGAGACTACAGGGACTAGACCAGGTTCTGCTGAGACTACAGGGACTAGACCAGGATCTGCTGAGCCCATGGACTAGACCAGGATCTGCTGAGACTACAGGGACTAGACCAGGATCTGCTGAGACTACAGGGACTAGACCAGGACCAACTGAGACCACAAGAACTAGACCTGGATCTGCAGAGACCACAGGAACTAGATCTGGATTTGCTGAGACCAGGAACTAGATCTGGATTTGCTAAGACCATGGACTTGACCAGGACTGACTGAGTCCACAGGAAATAAACCAGTCTATGTTATTGCAAAATGAGCCTGTACAGGTTTAACATGATTGAACATTTATAATAAAGAAATACTTACATATCTCTCTCTGGTCTCTCTCTGGTCTCTCTCTGGTCTCTCTCCAGTGTGTATCAACCATGGTCTGACAGCGCCCTCTACTGTCTCTCTGCTGTAAACGCACACACGCGCCTCTGAAGCGTCCTGCAGGGGTCGCTGTCTCTCCATCAGTCCTGAGAGCAGACTGCGCATGCTCAGAGCGTGCAGGGGACCAGTAGTCAGCGGCGGCCTTTTGTGTCTCTCTCCTCCCGGAGCTCCCGGAGGATGCTCGGAGCAGTCTCGTGAACAGACCCAGACACTGCGGAGGTGTGAGGCCGGGGATGAGGGGCCGCGGTCCGGGCTCAGCTGCATCACTGCCCCCGGGGAGAGCTCCAGGGGCCTGAGCCGCAGCACACGCCCCCAGAGCAGGACAGGAGCCGGTAGGACTGTGTGGGGTCCGTGGGGGGTCCGTGGGGGGGAGGGGGTGTGAAGGACCCGCATGACATCAGCCTCATTATTAGTTAAACATATCAATGTGTTAAAACATTTCTGTGGTTATCTGTGACTCATTTGAATATATTTTTTTATCGATATCTCTCAGATTTGTGATGAACTTTTATTTGAATATTTATTTATCAAAACTATAAATTCTGTTCGATTAGATCTGAATCAGTTTGTTACATTTATTTATGTGTAACACAGACAAACACAATCATTCACTCTATTAGGAACAAGGAGAACATGCAAACACCACAGTAAGACACTAATTGTGTGCTTGTCTGTGTGTGTGTGTGTGTGTGTCTGTGTGTGTATGACTGTGTGTGTGTATGACTGTGTATGTCTGTGTGTGTGTATATCTGTGTGTGTGTGTATGACTGTGTATGTCTGTGTGTGTGTATGACTGTGTGTGTATATCTGTGTGTGTGTGTATGTCTGTGTGTGTCTGTGTGTGTGTATGACTGTGTGTGTGTATGTCTGTGTGTGTGTATGTCTGTGTGTGTGTATGACTGTGTGTGTACGACTGTGTGTGTGTATGTCTGTGTATGTCTGTGTGTGTGTATGACTGTGTGTGTGTATGTCTGTGTGTGTGTGTGTGTATGACTGTGTGTGACTGTGTGTGTGTGTGTGCGTGTGTGTGTATGACTGTGTGTGTCTGTGTGTGTGTGTATGACTGTGTATGTCTGTGTGTGTGTATGAATGTGTGTGTGTATGACTGTGTGTGTGTATGACTGTGTGTGTGTGTGTGTGTGTGTGTGTGTATGACTGTGTGTGTGTTTGCAGGAGATGAAGAAGGACGTTCAGACGCTGGTGTCTGAAGAAAGAGCCGAGATCCTCCTCAAATATGCAACAGTGAGTCTTAAAGTCACAGACCTGAGCTTTAAAGTCACAGACCTAAGCTTTAAAGTCACAGACCCCAGCTTTAAAGTCACAGACCCCAGCTTTAAAGTCACAGACCTCAGCTTTAAATTCACAGACCCCAGCTTTAAAGTCACAGACCCCAGCTTTAAAGTCACAGACCTGAGCTTTAAATTCACAGACCTCAGCTTTAAAGTCACAGACCTGAGCTTTAAATTCACAGACCCCAGCTTTAAAGTCACAGACCCCAGCTTTAAAGTCACAGACCTGAGCTTTAAATTCACAGACCCCAGCTTTAAAGTCACAGACCCCAGCTTTAAAGTCACAGACCTAAGCTTTAAATTCACAGACCTCAGCTTTAAAGTCACAGACCCCAGCTTTAAAGTCACAGACCTGAGCTTTAAAGTCACAGACCTCAGCTTTAAAGTCACAGACCTAAGCTTTAAATTCACAGACCTCAGCTTTAAATTCACAGACCTCAGCTTTAAAGTCACAGACCTGAGCTTTAAATTCACAGACCCCAGCTTTAAAGTCACAGACCCCAGCTTTAAAGTCACAGACCTAAGCTTTAAATTCACAGACCTCAGCTTTAAAGTCACAGACCCCAGCTTTAAAGTCACAGACCTGAGCTTTAAATTCACAGACCCCAGCTTTAAAGTCACAGACCCCAGCTTTAAAGTCACAGACCCCAGCTTTAAAGTCACAGACCTAAGCTTTAAATTCCCAGACCTCAGCTTTAAAGTCACAGACCTCAGCTTTAAAGTCACAGACCCCAGCTTTAAAGTCACAGACCCCAGCTTTAAATTCACAGACCCCAGCTTTAAAGTCACAGACCCCAGCTTTAAAGTCACAGACCTAAGCTTTAAATTCACAGACCTGAGCTTTAAATTCACAGACCCCAGCTTTAAAGTCACAGACCTAAGCTTTAAATTCACAGACCTCAGCTTTAAAGTCACAGACCCCAGCTTTAAAGTCACAGACCCCAGCTTTAAAGTCACAGACCTAAGCTTTAAATTCACAGACCCCAGCTTTAAAGTCACAGACCTCAGCTTTAAAGTCACAGACCCAAGCTTTAAAGTCACAGACCTCAGCTTTAAAGTCACAGACCTGAGCTTTAAAGTCACAGACCTGAGCTTTAAAGTCACAGACCTGAGCTTTAAAGTCACAGACCTGAGCTTTAAAGTCACAGACCTGAGCTTTAAAGTCACAGACCCCAGCTTTAAAGTCACAGACCCCAGCTTTAAAGTCACAGACCTGAGCTTTAAATTCACAGACCTCAGCTTTAAAGTCACAGACCTGAGCTTTAAATTCACAGACCCCAGCTTTAAAGTCACAGACCCCAGCTTTAAAGTCACAGACCTGAGCTTTAAATTCACAGACCCCAGCTTTAAAGTCACAGACCCCAGCTTTAAAGTCACAGACCTAAGCTTTAAATTCACAGACCTCAGCTTTAAAGTCACAGACCCCAGCTTTAAAGTCACAGACCTGAGCTTTAAATTCACAGACCCCAGCTTTAAAGTCACAGACCTGAGCTTTAAATTCACAGACCCCAGCTTTAAAGTCACAGACCCCAGCTTTAAAGTCACAGACCTGAGCTTTAAATTCACAGACCCCAGCTTTAAAGTCACAGACCCCAGCTTTAAAGTCACAGACCTAAGCTTTAAATTCACAGACCTCAGCTTTAAAGTCACAGACCCCAGCTTTAAAGTCACAGACCCCAGCTTTAAAGTCACAGACCCCAGCTTTAAAGTCACAGACCTAAGCTTTAAATTCACAGACCTCAGCTTTAATGTCACAGACCCCAGCTTTAAAGTCACAGACCTGAGCTTTAAAGTCACAGACCCCAGCTTTAAAGTCACAGACCCCAGCTTTAAAGTCACAGACCTCAGCTTTAAAGTCACAGACCCCAGCTTTAAAGTCACAGACCCCAGCTTTAAAGTCACAGACCTCAGCTTTAAAGTCACAGACCCCAGCTTTAATGTCACAGACCCCAGCTTTAAATTCACAGACCTCAGCTTTAACATGTGTTTTTTCGGTACAGGGCAGACAGGGCGGGGTGCGGGTCGACCCCTGGGAGGACGCTCATCGGTACAAAGTGGTCGACCGCTTGGGATTCATGCAGTCAGTATGAACGGGACCAGAACGAGACCAGAGAGGGACCAGAGAGAGACCAGAGAGAGACCAGAGAGAGACCAGAGAGAGACCAGAGAGACCAGAGAGAGACCAGAGAGACCAGAGAGACCAGAGCGAGACCAGAGAGGGACCAGAGAGAGACCAGAGAGACCAGAGAGAGACCAGAGAGACCAGAGAGACCAGAGAGAGACCAGAGAGACCAGAGAGAGACCAGAGAGACCAGAGAGAGACCAGAGAGAGACCAGAGAGACCAGAGAGAAACCAGAGAGAGACCAGAGAGAGAGACCAGAGAGAGACCAGAGAGAGACCAGAGAGAGACCAGAGAGAGACCAGAGAGAGACCAGAGAGAGAGACCAGAGAGAGACCAGAGAGAGACCAGAGAGAGACCAGAGAGAGACCAGAGAGAGACCAGAGAGAGACCAGAGAGAGACCAGAGAGACCAGAGAGAGACCAGAGATAGACCAGAGAGAGACCAGAGAGAGACCAGAGTCAGTGCTGTCTTTTTTAGCAGAATTTTTTTTTCCAGTGAGAAGGAGCTTCCTTTGCCCAGCGCTCACGAGGAGAAGGTAACACCTCTGTCTCTGTGTAACTCTCTGTGTCTGTCTGTGTCTCTGTGTCTCTCTGTAACTCTCTGTGTCTGTCTGTGTCTCTGTGTCTCTCTGTGTCTGTGTCTCTGGGTCTGTCTCTGTGTCTCTGTCTCTGTGTCTCTCTGTAACTCTCTGTGTCTGTCTGTGTCTCTGTGTCTCTCTGTGTCTCTCTGTGTCTGTGTCTCTGTGTCTCTCTGTGTCTGTGTCTCTGTGTCTCTCTGTGTCTGTGTCTCTGTCTCTGTGTCTCTCTGTAACTCTCTGTGTCTGTCTGTGTCTCTGTGTCTCTCTGTGTCTGTGTCTCTGGGTCTGTCTCTGTGTCTCTCTGTAACTCTGTGTCTCTTTCGTCCTCAGCTGAAGTTGCAGCAGTTGCACAGAGCAGAGAAGTGGCTGAAGATGCTGCAGAAGTGGGAGAAATACAAACGCAGTGAAAAGGTCAGACTCGGTCGTCAGTCCTCGGTCCTCGGTCTTTGGTCCTGGGTCCTCAGTCCTGGGTCCTGGGTCCTGGGTCCACGGTCCTGGGTCCACGGTCCTCGGCCCTCGGCCCTCAGTCTTTGGTCCTGGGTCCTCGATCCACGGTCCTGGGTCCTGGGTCCTCAGTCCTCGGTCCTGGGGTCTCGGTCCACGGTCCTCGGTCCACTGTCCTCGGTCCTGGGGCCTCGGTACACGGTCCTCGGTCCTGGGTCCTCGGTCCTGGGTCCTCGGTCCACGGTCCTCGGTCCTGGGTCCTCGGTCCTGGGTCCTCGGTCCTCGGTTCTCTGTCCACAGTCTCAGTCTACATAAGACCAGGGTACTTCTGACTGTGTGAGAGAAACAGAAACAAATGAAAAACACTGTAGGTCGTTTATGAAGCCACTGAAGGATGCGAACCCATGGTTTGGTGGATACAGTTACTTTGCTCAGGGGCGACAGTGGCTCAGTTGGTAGAGCATTGGCCTTTGAGCCTGATGGTTGTGGGTTCGAGTCCACCAAAAGACATACCGCACGACTCCCACTGATGACTGCTGTCACTGAGTCCTTGGGCAAGACACTTAACCCCACTTTGTCTGAAGGCCCCACTGAAAGATCTCAGCTTGTGCAGGAGGACCAGGAGGAGCAGTGAGGACCAGGAGGATCAGTGAGGACCACGTGGATCAGTGAGGACCAGGAGGAGCAGTGAGGGTGGTGCTCTGTGCACTGGGTGCAGCTCTGACTGCCACCCCCCGACCCAGAAATGGATTAAGGGGAAGAAAAAGGATGGTTTGGTGTGCCCTCTGTTGTGAACAAACTGGTTCAAGCTAAAACCGTTGTATGAATGAATGACTGTCACTAACACTGCTCTGTTGTTCTTTTGTGAAGGTGATGCACACCATCAACACATGGTTTGGTCTAAATGTATGATGTAAAGAACCATGGAGTCAGATTTATGGTTTTAGAGGTGATCAAGTCTGAAATCCACAACACTGAATTGGAGATATCAAAATGAGTCTAGACTAAGGAGGTGATGGGGAGGAGGAGGGTTGCAGCTCGAGCTGAGGCTGTTTGCACCAGACTCTAAACCATGTGTCTCTGTTCAGCTGGTGAGGAGGATCTACAAAGGGATCCCGGCTCCGCTCCGAGGTCAGGCCTGGACTCTGCTGCTGGAGGTGGAGAAGGTCCGGAGGGAAAACCCGGGGAAGTACCAGGTCAGTGCCACACCAGGAGAGAAGGAGGGAGCCCCCTGCAGGAAAGAACATTTATAAAAACTGTGTGTGTGTGTGTGTGTGTGTGCGTGTCTGTGTGTGTGTGTGTGCGTGTCTGTGTGTGTGTGTGTGTCTGTGTGTGTGTGTGTGTCTGTGTGTGTGTGTGTGTGTGTGTGTGTGCTCAGAGGATGAAGGAGCAGGCTCTGGTCTACTCGTCTGAGATCAAACAGATCGACCTTGACGTTAATCGCACATTCAGGAAACACGTCATGTTCGTGGATAGATTCGGAGTCAAGTGAGTCTCTGGTCTCTCTCTGGTCTCTCTCTCTGGTCTCTCTCTCTCTCTCTCTGGTCTCTCTCTCTCTCTCTCTCTGGTCTCTCTCTCTGGTCTCTCTCTCTGGTCTCTCTCTCTCTCTCTCTGGTCTCTCTCTGGTCTCTCTCTCTGGTCTCTCTCTCTCTCTCTCTGGTCTCTCTCTCTCTCTCTCTCTGGTCTCTCTCTGGTCTCTCTCTCTGGTCTCTCTCTGGTCTCTCTCTCTGGTCTCTCTCTGGTCTCTCTCTCTGGTCTCTCTCTCTGGTCTCTCTCTGGTCTCTCTCTCTGGTCTCTCTCTCTGGTCTCTCTCTGGTCTCTCTCTCTGGTCTCTCTCTCTCTGGTCTCTCTCTCTCTGCTCTCTCTCTCTGCTCTCTCTCTCTGGTCTCTCTCTGGTCTCCCTCTGGTCTCTCTCTGCTCTCTCTCTGGTCTCTCCCTCTGGTCTCTCTCTGGTCTCTCTCTCTGGTCTCTCCCTCTGGTCTCTCTCTGGTCTTTCCCTGTGGTCTCTCTGGTCTCTCTCTGCTCTCTCTCTGGTCTCTCTCTCTGCTCTCTCTCTGGTCTCTCCCTCTGGTCTCTCTCTGGTCTCTCTCTCTGGTCTCTCTCTGGTCTCTCTCTCTGAACTCTCTCTGCTCTCTCCCTCTGGTCTCTCTCTGGTCTCTCTCTGCTCTCTCTCTGGTCTCTCTCGCTGGTCTCTCTCTGGTCTTTCCCTATGGTCTCTCTCTGGTCTCTCTCTGGTCTCTCTCTCTGGTCTCTCTCTGGTCTCTCTCTCTGGTCTCTCCCTCTGGTCTCTCTCTGGTCTCTCTGGTCTCTCTCTCTGGTCTCTCGCTCTGAACTCTCTCTGTTCTCTCTCTGGTCTCTTCCTCTGGTCTCTCTCTGGTCTCTCTCTCTGGTCTCTCTCTGGTCTCTCTCGCTGGTCTCTCCCTCTGGTCTCTCTCTGGTCTCTTCCTCTGGTCTCTCTCTGGTCTCTCTCTCTGGTTTCTCTCTGGTCTCTCTCTGATCTCTCTCTCTGGTCTCTCTCTCTGGTCTCTCTCTGGTCTCTCTCTCTGGTCCCTCTCTGGTCTCTCTCTGAACTCTCTCTGGTCTCTTCCTCTGGTCTCTCTCTGGTCTCTGTCTCTGGTCTCTCTCTGGCCTCTCTCTCTGGTCTCTCTCTGGTCTCTCTCTCTGGTCTCTCTCTCTGGTCCCTCTCTGGTCTCTCTCTGGCCCCTCTCTCTGGTCTCTCTCTGGTCTCTCTCTGAACTCTCTCTGGTCTCTTCCTCTGGTCTCTCTCTGGTCTCTGTCTCTGGTCTCTCTCTGGCCTCTCTCTCTGGTCTCTCTCTGGTCTCTCTCTCTGGTCTCTCTCTCTGGTCTCTCTCTCTGGTCTCTCTCTCTGGTCTCTCTCTGGTCTCTCTCTGAACTCTCTGGTCTCTCTCTCTGGTCTCTCTCTCTGAACTCTCTCTGGTCTCTTCCTCTGGTCTCTCTCTGGTCTCTCTCTCTGAACTCTCTCTGGTCTCTTCCTCTGGTCTCTCTCTGGTCTCTTCCTCTGGTCTCTCTCTGGTCTCTTCCTCTGGTCTCTCTCTGGTCTCTCTCTGGTCTCTCTCTGTTCTCTCTCTCTGGGCTCTCTCTGGTCTCTCTCTGGCCTCTCTCTCTGGTCTCTCTCTCTGGCCTCTCTCTCTGGTCTCTCTCTGGCCTCTCTCTCTGGCCTCTCTCTGGCCTCTCTCTGGTCTCTCTCTGGTCTCTCTCTGGTCTCTTTCTGGTCTCTCTCTGGTCTCTCTCTAAACTATCTCTCTGTTCCAGGCAGCAGTCTCTCTTCTATGTGCTGGCAGCATATTCTGTCTACAACACGGTGAGAAACTCTGACCTTCACCCAGTGTAAATATGGGGGTGGTAGCATCGTGTGGGGCTGTTTTTCTCTCTTGTCTCCATCTCTGGTCTCTCTTTCATCTCTCTCTTGTCTCTCTCTGGTCTCTCCCTCTGGTCTCTCTCCGGTCTCTCTCTGGTCTCTCTCTCTAGTCTCTCTCTCTGGAATTTAAAGCTGTCTTTTTGATTGCACCTTATTATTGGTACATTGCTGTCCGTCATTGCTGGTCTCTCTGGTGGATGGTTCCTTGATGGTTCCTTGATGGTTCCTTGATGGTTCCTTGATGGCTCCTTGATGGTTCCTCGATGGTCTTGCAGGAAGTCAGTTACTGTCAGGGCATGAGTCAGATTGCGGCTCTTCTTCTGATGTTCATGGACGAAGAGGACGCGTTCTGGGCCCTGAGCCGCCTGCTGGGGGACCGCCCCCACGCCATGCACGGTGAGAGAAACCCCCCTCCCCACGCCATGCACAGTGAGAGAGACACCCCCACGCCATGCACGGTGAGAGAAACCCCCCTCCCCACGCCATGCACGGTGAGAGAAACCCCCCTCCCCAAGCCATGCACAGTGAGAGAGACAGCCCCACGCCATGCACAGTGAGAGAAACCCCCCTCCCCACGCCATGCACGGTGAGAGAAACCCCCCTCCCCAAGCCATGCACAGTGAGAGAGACACCCCCACGCCATGCATGGTGAGAGAGACCCCCCTTCCTTCACCATGTTAGCCGTGTTAGCTCCATGTTAGCGGTGTTAGCGCCCCCTACAGAGTGATCCAAAAGTTTAGTCTGAGTTCGCTCCTGAAATTCTCTCTCTTCTCAGGATTCTTCGTTCCTGGTTTTCCCAAACTGCAGCGTTTCCAGAGTCACCACGACCAGGTCCTGAACAAACTGCTGCCACGGCTCAAGAGACACATGGTATACACCAGAAATACACTTTATAATCAAGTCTCTCTCTGGTTTCTCTTTGGTCTCTCTCTGGTCTCTCCCTGGTCTCTCTGGTCTCTCCCTGGTCTCTCCCTGGTCTCTCTGGTATCTCTCTGGTCTCTCTGGTCTCTCCCTGGTCTCTCTGGTCTCTCTCTGGTCTCTCTGGTCTCTCTCTGGTCTTTCTGGTCTCTCTCTCTGTCTCCTGTCTCTCTCTGGTCTCTCTCTGGTCTCTCCCTGGTCTCTCTGGTCTCTCCCTGGTCTCTCTGGTCTCTCCCTGGTCTCTCTGGTCTCTCCCTGGTCTCTCTGGTCTCTCCCTGGTCTCTCTGGTCTCTCTCTGGTCTCTCTGGTCTCTCTCTGGTCTTTCTGGTCTCTCTCTCTGTCTCCTGTCTCTCTCTGGTCTCTCTCTGGTCTCTCCCTGGTCTCTCCCTGGTCTCTCTCTGGTCTCTCCCTGGTCTCTCTCTGGTCTCTCCCTGGTCTCTCTGGTCTCTCCCTTGTCTCTCTGGTCTCTCTCTGGTCTTTCTGGTATCTCTCTCTGTCTCCTGTCTCTCTCTGGTCTCTCTGTTTATTCTGGTAAATGTGTAGAATGCACCATGTGTTAAACCAAGTACTCTGTGTGTGCTGCGCCCCCTGGTGGCAGCAGAAGGAGCTACAGGCTAAAGGACAAAAATCAACAAAAATAAATTCTGACGTTTTTTATTTTAGGACCAGGAGCAGATGTTCACTGGTATCTACAGCACCAAGTGGTTCATGCAGTGTTTCATAGAGAGGGTTAGTCACACACACACACACACACACACACACACACACACACACACACACACATGTACACACACATGTACACACACACACACACACACATGTACACACACACGTACACACACACACATACACACACACACACATGTACACACACATGTACACACACACACACACACACACACACACACATGTACACACACATGTACACACACACACACACACACACACACAAATGTACAAACACATATACACAGGTACGTACACACACACACACACTCCTGCTGGGACCATGTGACTCCTGCTGGGATCATGTGACTCCTGCTGGGACCATGTGACTCCTGCTGGGACCATGTGACTCCTGCTGGGATCATGTGACTCCTGCTGGGATCATGTGACTCCTGCTGGGATCATGTGACTCCTGCTGGGATCATGTGACTCCTGCTGGGATCATGTGACTCCTGCTGGGACCATGTGACTCCTGCTGGGATCATGTGACTCCTGCTGGGACCATGTGACTCCTGCTGGGACCATGTGACTCCTGCTGGGACCATGTGACTCCTGCTGGGATCATGTGACTCCTGCTGGGACCATGTGACTCCTGCTGGGACCATGTGACTCCTGCTGGGACCATGTGACTCCTGCTGGGATCATGTGACTCCTGCTGGGACCATGTGACTCCTGCTGGGATCATGTGACTCCTGCTGGGATCATGTGACTCCTGCTGGGATCATGTGACTCCTGCTGGGATCATGTGACTCCTGCTGGGATCATGTGACTCCTGCTGGGATCATGTGACTCCTGCTGGGACCATGTGACTCCTGCTGGGATCATGTGACTCCTGCTGGGATCATGTGTGACTCCTGTTGGGATCATGTGACTCCTGCTGGGATCATGTGACTCCTGCTGGGACCATGTGACTCCTGCTGGGACCATGTGACTCCTGCTGGGATCATGTGACTCCTGCTGGGATCATGTGACTCCTGCTGGGACCATGTGACTCCTGCTGGGATCATGTGACTCCTGCTGGGATCATGTGACTCCTGCTGGGATCATGTGACTCCTGCTGGGACCATGTGACTCCTGCTGGGATCATGTGACTCCTGCTGGGACCATGTGACTCCTGCTGGGACCATGTGACTCCTGCTGGGACCATGTGACTCCTGCTGGGATCATGTGACTCCTGCTGGGACCATGTGACTCCTGCTGGGACCATGTGACTCCTGCTGGGACCATGTGACTCCTGCTGGGATCATGTGACTCCTGCTGGGATCATGTGACTCCTGCTGGGACCATGTGACTCCTGCTGGGATCATGTGACTCCTGCTGGGATCATGTGACTCCTGCTGGGATCATGTGACTCCTGTTGGGATCATGTGACTCCTGCTGGGATCATGTGACTCCTGCTGGGATCATGTGACTCCTGCTGGGATCATGTGACTCCTGCTGGGATCATGTGACTCCTGTTGGGATCATGTGACTCCTGCTGGGATCATGTGACTCCTGCTGGGACCATGTGACTCCTGCTGGGACCATGTGACTCCTGCTGGGACCATGTGACTCCTGCTGGGATCATGTGACTCCTGCTGGGATCATGTGACTCCTGCAGGGATCATGTGACTCCTGCTGGGATCATGTGACTCCTGCTGGGACCATGTGACTCCTGCTGGGACCATGTGACTCCTGCTGGGATCATGTGACTCCTGCTGGGACCATGTGACTCCTGCTGGGACCATGTGACTCCTGTTGGGATCATGTGACTCCTGCTGGGACCATGTGACTCCTGCTGGGACCATGTGACTCCTGCTGGGACCATGTGACTCCTGCTGGGACCATGTGACTCCTGTTGGGATCATGTGACTCCTGCTGGGACCATGTGACTCCTGCTGGGACCATGTGACTCCTGCTGGGACCATGTGACTCCTGCTGGGACCATGTGACTCCTGCTGGGATCATATCTCCTGCTGGGACCATGTGACTCCTGCTGGGACCATGTGACTCCTGCTGGGATCATGTGACTCCTGCTGGGACCATGTGACTCCTGCTGGGATCATGTGACTCCTGCTGGGACCATGTGACTCCTGCTGGGACCATGTGACTCCTGCTGGGACCATGTGACTCCTGCTGGGACCATGTGACTCCTGCTGGGATCATGTGACTCCTGCTGGGATCATGTGACTCCTGCTGGGATCATGTGACTCCTGCTGGGATCATGTGACTCCTGCTGGGACCATGTGACTCCTGCTGGGACCATGTGACTCCTGCTGGGACCATGTGACTCCTGCTGGGACCATGTGACTCCTGCTGGGATCATGTGACGATCATGTGACTCCTGCTGGGATCATGTGACTCCTGCAGGGATCATGTGACTCCTGCTGGGATCATGTGACTCCTGCTGGGATCATGTGACTCCTGCTGGGATCATGTGACTCCTGCTGGGACCATGTGACTCCTGCTGGGATCATGTGACTCCTGCTGGGATCATGTGACTCCTGCAGGGATCATGTGACTCCTGCTGGGATCATGTGACTCCTGCAGGGATCATGTGACTCCTGCTGGGATCATGTGACTCCTGCTGGGACCATGTGACTCCTGCTGGGACCATGTGACTCCTGCTGGGATCATGTGACTCCTGCAGGGATCATGTGACTCCTGCTGGGATCATGTGACTCCTGCTGGGATCATGTGACTCCTGCAGGGATCATGTGACTCCTGCTGGGATCATGTGACTCCTGCAGGGATCATGTGACTCCTGCTGGGATCATGTGACTCCTGCTGGGATCATGTGACTCCTGCTGGGACCATGTGACTCCTGCTGGGACCATGTGACCACACCTCCTGCTGGGATCATGTGACTCCTGCTGGGATCATGTGACTCCTGCTGGGATCATGTGACTCCTGCTGGGATCATGTGACTCCTGCTGGGATCATGTGACTCCTGCAGGGATCATGTGACTCCTGCTGGGACCATGTGACCACACCTCCTGCTGGGACCATGTGACTCCTGCTGGGACCATGTGACTCCTGCTGGGATCATGTGACTCCTGCTGGGATCATGTGACTCCTGCTGGGATCATGTGACTCCTGCTGGGATCATGTGACTCCTGCAGGGATCATGTGACTCCTGCTGGGACCATGTGACTCCTGCTGGGATCATGTGACTCCTGCTGGGACCATGTGACCACACCTCCTGCTGGGACCATGTGACTCCTGCTGGGACCATGTGACTCCTGCTGGGATCATGTGACTCCTGCTGGGACCATGTGACTCCTGCTGGGACCATGTGACTCCTGCTGGGACCATGTGACTCCTGCTGGGATCATGTGACTCCTGCTGGGATCATGTGACTCCTGCTGGGATCATGTGACTCCTGCTGGGATCATGTGACTCCTGCAGGGATCATGTGACTCCTGCTGGGACCATGTGACTCCTGCTGGGACCATGTGACTCCTGCTGGGATCATGTGACTCCTGCTGGGATCATGTGACTCCTGCTGGGATCATGTGACTCCTGCTGGGATCATGTGACTCCTGCAGGGATCATGTGACTCCTGCTGGGATCATGTGACTCCTGCTGGGACCATGTGACCACACCTCCTGCTGGGACCATGTGACTCCTGCTGGGACCATGTGACTCCTGCTGGGATCATGTGACTCCTGCTGGGACCATGTGACTCCTGCTGGGACCATGTGACTCCTGCTGGGACCATGTGACTCCTGCTGGGATCATGTGACTCCTGCTGGGATCATGTGACTCCTGCTGGGATCATGTGACTCCTGCTGGGATCATGTGACTCCTGCAGGGATCATGTGACTCCTGCTGGGATCATGTGACTCCTGCTGGGACCATGTGACCACACCTCCTGCTGGGACCATGTGACTCCTGCTGGGACCATGTGACTCCTGCTGGGATCATGTGACTCCTGCTGGGACCATGTGACTCCTGCTGGGACCATGTGACTCCTGCTGGGACCATGTGACTCCTGCTGGGATCATGTGACTCCTGCTGGGACCATGTGACTCCTGCTGGGACCATGTGACTCCTGCTGGGACCATGTGACCCTGGCCTGTTTTGTTGCAGAGTCCGTTCAGTCTGACCCTGCGTCTGTGGGACATCTTCATCCTGGAGGGAGAGCAGCTGCTGACCGCCATGTCCTACACCGTCCTGAAGGTGCACCGCCGTGAGTCCAGACCCCAGTCCAGACCCCAGTCCAGACCCCAGTCCAGACCTGAGAGCCCAGACCTGAGGGCCCGGACCTGAGAGCAGTAGCAATAGCAGAAGTAGAATTAGTAGCAGTAGCATTAGCAGCAGTAGCAATAGCAGCAATAGAATTAGCAGTAGCATTAGCAGAAGTAGCATTAGTAGCAGCAGCAGTAGCAGCATTAGTAGCAGTAGCAATAGCAGCAGTAAAATAAACAGCAGTGGCATTAGCAACAGTAGCAGCCAGTAGCATTAGCAGCATTAGCATTGGCAGAAGTAGCATTAGTAGCAGCAGCAGTAGCAGTAGCAATAGCAGCAGTAGAATAAACAGCAGTGGCATTAGCAGCCAGTAGCATTAGCAGCATTAGCATTAGCAGAAGTAGCATTAGTAGCAGCAGCAGTAGCAGTAGCATTAGCAGCAGTGTGTTGTCTTTCAGAGCGCCTGATGCGGATGTCGCTGGAGGAGCTCAGGGACTTCCTCCAGGAGCGCATCGCTGTGTCGCTGTCGCACAGTGATGATGTCATCATCGAGCAGCTGCGGCGCGCCATGTCGGAGCTGAGGAAGAGGAAGCTGCATCTTCCTCCTCCAGGTGAGTACTCTGCTCTGATTGGAGGCTCTCAAACCCGCCCTGACCGCACTCTGTCTGTGCAGGTAAAGCTGAGGAGCTGCCCCTTCGGCCTCTGGGTCAGGACCCCCCAGCAGTGCCTCGTGCTGCCTGCCCCCCCCAGGCCTGCCCCCCCCAGGCCTGCCCCCCCCTGAGCCCAAGCCCCTCCAAAGACCCGCCCTCGCCCTCCCCTGTGGTCATCCACCGCACTGCCCTGGCCTCTCCGGAGCATGACTCCCCCCTGATGGGTCCGCCTCCGTACCACTCCCCTTCGGACCACTCCCCTCCGGACCCTTCCCCCCCCAGGACCCTCTCCAGGACCCTCTCCACGCCCCTGTGGCCCCAGCCCCCCCTCCCCAGAGTCAGCCAGTCTCAGAGTCTGGGCCAGCGTCTGTAGAAGTACTGGACGTCCCCTTCATGTGGACGAGGCCCATCCGTGGATCTATGATAATAACTGGATAGAGTGTTACTGGCTTGGAGCTGAAGAACTCATGTGCTCAGGGGATTCTCGTGGTACTGCAGACTGAACCAGACTGAACCAGACTGAACCAGACTGAACCAGACTGAACCAGACTGAACCAGACTGAACCAGACTGAACCAGACTGAACCAGACTGAACCAGACTAAATTCACGTGGGCTACCCAGAAATTTTCCCCATAGGACTCAATGCATATTAAAACAGCTCGACCTCAGCTGAAAGAGAACCTGACAGAGAACCTGACAGAGAACCTGACAGAGAACCTGACAGAGAACCTGACAGAGAACCTGACAGAGAACCTGAAAGAGAACCTACAGCTTTCATAAAGGTCTGATTCTGTGGGGATTTTAGTGTCCCTTGTCGTCCTGAACTTTTTTTCTTCTTAAATCCTTCGGTTTTGTTTAAATCCACACTTTAGTGCCACAAACTCTGCTCCTCTGGCTCTCGCTCTAACTCCCGCTCTGATGAACTGCTCTGATTGGTCAGAGCGCGGCCGAGCCCCTCTGTGCACGTGCGTGAGACCCTCTGTGCACGTGCGTGAGACCCACACACGATCATCCACTGCACAGAACCGCGAGGACCAGATGATGCCCAAAGTTTCCCATAGATCTTTGCGAGTTCCAGGCGACTTCGGCTAATCTTTCAGCCCCCATGCCGTCACAAAGCGCCACTGAGCACAACCATTCATTTGAATAGGGCGCCATCTTGGATCGCCGGGGCTTGGGCCCATCGCAGCCAAGTAAAGCAAGCTAGCGGTTAGCATTGTTAGCATTGTCCGTCTGTAAACAGTCTGTGGTCCAGGCGGGGGACAGGTCTGTGAATGTACCGGAGCAAACGGATGAAGCCACAAACTGAATGTTCTAAGAGCCATTTGTTGTTGCACAAATGAGGTTAGCTACCTTAAAGATAGCTACTTAACGATAGCTACAACACGATGCAGCTGTTAAAGTCTGATAAACAAGATGGCAGCTAAATATTTGACAATGACGTTTGGATTCTACAGTCGTGATATTAATAAAAGTTTAGTGTCAATAATTTTAGAATTGTGAGAATATTGATGTTATGAGAGACCCGCACTCTCCCTCAGCCCTCTTCGGTCTCTCCCTGTTCTCTCTCTGGTCTCTCTCTGGTCTCCCTCTGGTCTCTCTCTGGTCTCTCTCTGGTCTCTCTCTGGTCTCCCTCTGGTCTCTCTCTGGTCTCTCTCTGGTCTCTCTCTGGTCTCTCTGGTCTCTCCCCGGTCTCTCTCTGGTCTCTCTCTGGTCTCTCTCTGGTCTCTCCCTGGTCTCTCTCTGGTCTCTCCCTGGTCTCTCTCTGGTCTCTCTCTGGTCTCTCTCTGGTCTCTCTCTGGTCTCCCTCTGGTCTCTCTGGTCTCTCCCTCGTCTCTCCCCGGTCTCTCCCCGGTCTCTCCCCGGTCTCTCTCTGGTCTCTCTCTGGTCTCTCCCCGGTCTCTCTCTGGTCTCTCTCTGGTCTCTCTCTGGTCTCTCCCCGGTCTCTCTCTGGTCTCTCTCTGGTCTCTCTCTGGTCTCTCTCTGGTCTCTCTCTGGTCTCTCCCCGGTCTCTCTCTGGTCTCTCTCTCTGGTCTCTCTCTGGTCTCTCTCTGGTCTCTCTCTGGTCTCTCTCTGGTCTCTCTCTGGTCTCTCCCCGGTCTCTCTCTGGTCTCTCTCTGGTCTCTCTCTCTGGTCTCTCTCTGGTCTCTCTCTGGTCTCTCTCTGGTCTCTCTCTGGTCTCTCTCTGGTCTCTCTCTGGTCTCTCTCTGGTCTCTCTGGTCTCTCTCTGGTCTCTCTCTGGTCTCTCTCTGGTCTCTCTGGTCTCTCTCTGGTCTCCAAACCAGTAAACCAGTCAATGTGAACATATTTTGTTTGTAAAACGTCCAAACGCACAATCTGTGTTCTGTTCTGATCAGTCCAGGTCTGAGTCCAGGTCTGAGTCCAGGTCTGAGTCCAGGTCTGAGTCCAGGTCTGAGTCCAGGTCTGAGTCCAGGTCTGAGTCCAGGTCTGAGTCCAGGTCTGAGTCCAAACTGAAATGTTGTTGTCTGTTTTCTGTGATGAAAAGACTTTTTAATAAATGGGAAACTGTAAAACCTCGAAGCATGGGACTGAAATATACCACAGTCTCTCTCTCTGGTCTCTCTCTCTGGGCTCTCTCTCTGGTCTCTCTCTGGTCTCTCTCTCTGGTCTCTCTCTGGTCGCTCTCTCTAGTCTCTCTCTGGTATCTCTCTGGTCTCTCTCTCTGGTCTCTCTCTGGTCTCTCTCTCTAGTCTCTCTCTGGTATCTCTCTCTGGTCTCTCTCTGGTCTCTCTCTCTGGTCTCTCTCTCTGGGCTCTCTCTCTGGTCTCTCTCTGGTCTCTCTCTCTGGTCTCTCTCTGGTCTCTCTCTCTGGTCTCTCTCTGGTCTCTCTCTCTGGTCTCTCTCTCTGGTCTCTCTCTCTGGTCTCTCTCTCTAGTCTCTCTCTGGTATCTCTCTCTGGTCTCTCTCTGGTCTCTCTCTCTGGTCTCTCTCTGGTCTCTCTCTCTGGTCTCTCTCTCTGGGCTCTCTCTCTGGTCTCTCTCTGGTCTCTCTCTCTGGTCTCTCTCTCTGGTCTCTCTCTCTAGTCTCTCTCTGGTCTCTCTCTCTGGTCTCTCTCTCTGGTCTCTCTCTCTAGTCTCTCTCTGGTATCTCTCGGGTCTCTCTCTCTGGTCTCTCTCTCTGGTCTCTCTCTGGTATCTCTCTCTGGTCTCTCTCTCTGGTCTCTCTCTGGTCTCTCTCTCTGGTCTCTCTCTCTGGTCTCTCTCTCTGGTCTCTCTCTCTGGTCTCTCTCTCTGGTCTCTCTCTGGTCTCTCTCTGGTTGAATGAAATAAAACCATGTGGCACAGATGTGTTTTTGGTTCAGTTTATTCACAGATGGAGGTTTCTACTCTACTTTCCCCAAAGAACAGAACAGAACGAAGAGGATCACAACGAGCCATAAATAAGAACAAACACAGATTAAAACTACAGCTGCAGCAGACAGGTCCAGGCCAGGCCCTGCAGAGGGACCAGAGAGAGACCAGAGAGAGACCAGAGGGAGACCAGAGAGAGACCAGAGAGAGACCAGAGGGAGACCAGAGAGAGACCAGAGAGAGACCAGAGAGAGACCAGAGAGAGACCAGAGAGAGACCAGAGAGAGACCAGAGACAGACCAGAGAGAGACCAGAGGGAGACCAGAGAGAGACCAGAGAGAGACCAGAGACAGACCAGAGAGAGACCAGAGAGAGACCAGAGGGAGACCAGAGAGAGACCAGAGAGAGATCAGAGAGAGAGAGAGAGACCAGAGGGAGACCAGGGAGAGACCAGAGAGAGACCAGAGAGAGACCAGAGAGAGACCAGAGAGAGACCAGAGAGAGACCAGAGAGAGAGACCAGAGGGAGACCAGAGAGAGACCAGAGAGAGACCAGAGAGAGACCAGAGAGAGAGACCAGGGAGAGACCAGAGAGAGAGACCAGAGAGAGACCAGAGAGAGACCAGAGAGAGACCAGAGAGAGATCAGAGAGAGACCAGAGAGAGAGACCAGAGAGAGACCAGGGAGAGACCAGAGAGAGACCAGAGAGAGACCAGAGAGAGACCAGAGAGAGACCAGAGAGAGACCAGAGAGAGACCAGAGAGAGAGACCAGAGGGAGACCAGAGAGAGACCAGAGAGAGACCAGAGAGAGACCAGAGAGAGAGACCAGGGAGAGACCATAGAGAGAGACCAGAGAGAGACCAGAGAGAGACCAGAGAGAGACCAGAGAGAGAGACCAGAGAGAGACCAGGGAGAGACCAGAGAGAGACCAGGGAGAGACCAGAGAGAGACCAGAGAGAGACCAGAGAGAGAGAGACCAGAGAGAGACCAGAGAGAGACCAGAGAGAGACCAGAGACAGACCAGAGAGAGACCAGAGAGAGACCAGAGAGAGACCAGAGAGAGACCAGAGACAGACCAGAGAGAGACCAGAGGGAGACCAGAGAGAGACCAGAGGGAGACCAGAGAGAGACCAGAGAGAGATCAGAGAGAGACCAGAGAGAGAGACCAGAGGGAGACCAGGGAGAGACCAGAGAGAGACCAGAGAGAGACCAGAGAGAGACCAGAGAGAGAGACCAGAGGGAGACCAGAGAGAGACCAGAGAGAGACCAGAGAGAGACCAGAGAGAGAGACCAGGGAGAGACCAGAGAGAGAGACCAGAGAGAGACCAGAGAGAGACCAGAGAGAGACCAGAGAGAGACCAGAGAGAGATCAGAGAGAGACCAGAGAGAGAGACCAGAGAGAGACCAGGGAGAGACCAGAGAGAGACCAGGGAGAGACCAGAGAGAGACCAGAGAGAGACCAGAGAGAGAGACCAGAGGGAGACCAGAGAGAGACCAGAGAGAGACCAGAGAGAGACCAGAGAGAGAGACCAGGGAGAGACCATAGAGAGAGACCAGAGAGAGACCAGAGAGAGACCAGAGGGAGACCAGAGAGAGAGACCAGAGAGAGACCAGGGAGAGACCAGAGAGAGACCAGAGAGAGACCAGAGAGAGACCAGAGAGAGACCAGAGGGAGACCAGGGAGAGACCAGAGAGAGACCAGGGAGAGACCAGAGAGAGACCAGAGAGAGACCAGAGAGAGACCAGAGAGAGACCAGAGAGAGACCAGAGAGAGAGAGACCAGAGATCCATACCCGGTATAGACTCGGTTCAGACCCGGTTCAGACCTGGTTCAGACCTGGTTCAGACCTGGTTCAGACCTGGTTCAGACCTGGTTCAGACCTCTCTGCTGCAGAGCGACTTCCTTCAGGGAAACACATTCTTTGTATAAATACGTTTGAATAAATAAACAAAAAGTACAAAAATAGACATTGTTTCTGAATCCTGCAGATTTCAACACAAGAAAAACATGAACATAATGAGACCAGAGGGAGACCAGAGTGAGCCTAGAGAGAGACCAGATTGAGCCTAGAGAGAGACCAGAGTGAGCCCAGAGAGAGACCAGAGAGAGAGACCAGAGAGAGACCAGAGAGAGACCAGAGAGAGAGACCAGAGAGAGACCAGAGAGAGAGACCAGAGTGAGCCCAGAGAGAGACCAGAGAGAGACCAGAGAGAGAGACCAGAGAGAGAGACCAGAGTGAGCCCAGAGAGAGACCAGAGAGAAAGAGACCAGAGAGAGAGAGACCAGAGAGAGAGAGACCAGAGAGAGACAAGTGAGAGACAAGAGTGAGACCAGACCATCTCAGTTAAATTAAGTTAAATAAATAAAACCATGTCGGTGTCGGTACATACAGTCGTCTGACATTGGGAGAATTCTTCAGGTTTGTCGCCGTTTTGGCGCCGGCGAGCAGAGGCTCCTCCCCCTGGCGTCCATTTTACCTCCGGTGCAAGTTTTAGTGGAACAAAAGGAACAAAGAACCCAATAAAGAGAGTGAGCAGTGTGCAGTTCCGGGGCTCACACGAGGAGACACTTAATAAAGCTGGGGTACGTAACTTTCATGACCATAATGAGACCGGAGAGAGAGACCAGAGAGAGAGACCAGAAAGAGACTAGAGAGAGACCAGAGAGAGACCAAAGAGAGAGATCAGAGAGAGACTAGAGAAAGACTAGAGAGAGACCAAAGAGAGAGACCAAAGAGAGAGACCAGAGAGAGACCAGAGAGAGACCAAAGAGAGAGATTAGAGAGAGACTAGAGAAAGACTAGAGAGAGACGAGAGAAAGACCAGAGAGAGACCAAAGAGACTAGAGAAAGACTAGAGAAAGACCAAAGAGAGAGACCAAAGAGAGAGATCAGAGAGAGACCAGAGAGAGAGACCAGAGAGAGATCAGAGAGAGACTAGAGAAAGACTAGAGAGAGACCAAAGAGAGAGACCAAAGAGAGAGACCAGAGAGAGAGACCAGAGAGAGACCAGAGAGAGACCAAAGAGAGAGATCAGAGAGAGACTAGAGAAAGACTAGAGAGAGACCAAAGAGAGAGACCAAAGAGAGAGACCAGAGAGAGACCAGAGAGAGAGACCAGAGAGAGACTAGAGAAAGACTAGAGAGAGACCAGAGAGAGAGACCAGAGAGAGACTAGAGAAAGACTAGAGAGAGACCAAAGAGAGAGACTACAGTGAGACTACAGTGAGACTACAGTGAGACTAGAGGGTGCATAACTTTCAAATCACTACATTTAACTAAAATAAATCTTTCTGTCACTGGTTTTATCTATTCTTTGGCCTCGGTCACATCAGTTTTTTCAGAGGGAAAAGTGACAAAGAGAGAGCACCCCCTCAGCCAATCAGGACAGAGTACATTTGCTACTAACCAGGCTCAAGTTACATACCCGAGCTTTAAAAACAGCCCTCTCAAACTCAGACCACAGCCAAATGGATCAACAAACATTTCTGTCTTAAGGCCGAAGTCTGCCGCATCTGCTCAGTGGAGTCTTTGGGAGCTGGACCGAGGGACTGGGATTTCACGGGGCCCGGGAGCTGGACGAGACCAGAGCTGGACTAGACCAGACCAGACCGGGTTTCTCCTGTGGGGGGGGAGGGGGGGTGCAGGTTCCATGGGTGCAGGGAGACTGGACCTCGTGGTTCAGTTCGAGAGCTTCGTTCATAGACACCGTCGATCTCTGGAAAGTGATGGGACCAGGAAACCCCCAGAGAGACCGGAGGGAGAGACTAGAGAGAGCAGGGAGAGAGCAGAGAGAAACCAGAGGGAAAGAGCAGAGAGACCAGAGAGAGCAGAGGGAAAGACCAGAAAGAGAGATTAGAGAGAGAGACCAGAGAGAGCAGAGGGAGAGACCAGAAAGAGACCAGAGAGAGACCAGAGAGAGACCAGAGCGAGACCAGAGAGAGACCAGAGTGAGACCAGAGAGAGCAGAGCGAGACCAGAGTGTAACGAGTCCGAAGCAGGAGGAGGGAGCTACATGATGCTTATTGTAAAATACTGGAGCCATTCTCTAAATATTGTAGAAAAGTTTTTAGGCAAAAGTAGATTATCTCGGTGTCTTTGCGCATGCAGTGGCGGCTCAGGCCTGCTCAGTCCTGCTGGTCTTGGTCTTGTCCTTGGGGCCTTTGGAGGTGGGGGGGTCACAGGGGGGAGGGCTCCGGGGGCCGGGGGAGGGGGGGCCATGCTTGGGGGAGGAGCAGGACCCCGACAGCGTCTTCTCATCCGTGAACAGCTGCTTTATGACGTCAAAGAAGTTACTCAGCGGACTTCCTGTAGAGAAAGAGAGTACATTAAGGAGAGAGACCTGTAGAGAGAGAGAGTACATTAAGGAGAGAGACCTGTAGAGAGAGAGGAGAGTACATTAAGGAGATAAACCAGTAGAGAGAGAGGAGAGTACATTAAGGAGATAAACCAGTAGAGAGAGAGGAGAGTACATTAAGGAGAGAGACCAGCGAGAGAGCGAGTACATTAAGGAGAGAGACCAGCGAGAGAGGAGAGTACATTAAGGAGAGACCTGTAGAGAGCGAGAGGAGAGTACATTAAGGAGAGAGACCTGTAGAGAGAGAGGAAAGTACATTAAGGAGAGAGACGAGTGAGAGAGAGGAGAGTACAGTAAGGAGAGAGAGACCAGTGAGAGAGAGACAGGAGAGTACATTAAGGAGAGAGACCTGTAGAGAGAGGAGAGTATATTAAGGAGTGAGACCAGTGTGAGAGAGGAGAGTACATGAAGAAGAGAGAGACCTGTAGAGAGAGGAGAGTACATTAAGGAGAGAGACCAGTGAGAGAGAGGAGAGTACATTAAGAGAGAGACCAGTGAGAGAGAGGAGAGTACATTAAGGAATGAGACCAGTGAGAGAGCAGAGTACATTAAGGAGAGAGACCAGTGAGAGAGAGAGAGAGAGAGTACATTAAGGAATGAGACCAGTGAGAAAGAGGAGAGTACATTAAGGAGAGAGACCAGTGAGAGAGAGAGAGTACATTAAGGAGAGAGACCAGCGAGAGAGGAGAGTACATTAAGGAGAGAGACCAGCGAGAGAGGAGAGTACATTAAGGAGAGAGACCAGTGAGAGAGGAGAGTACATTAAGGAGAGAGACCAGTGAGAGAGAGGAGAGTACATTAAGGAGAGAGACCAGTGAGAGAGAGAGAGAGTACATTAAGGAGAGAGACCAGCGAGAGAGGAGAGTACATTAAGGAGAGAGACCAGCGAGAGAGGAGAGTACATTAAGGAGAGAGACCAGTGAGAGAGGAGAGTACATTAAGGAGAGAGACCAGTGAGAGAGAGGAGAGTACATTAAGGAGAGAGACCAGTGAGAGAGGAGAGTACATAAAGGAGAGAGACCAGTGAGAGAGGAGAGTACATTAAGGAGAGAGACCAGTGAGAGAGAGGAGAGTACATTAAGGCGAGAGACCAGTGAGAGAGGAGAGTACATTAAGAAGAGAGAGACCTGTAGAGAGAGGAGAGTACATTAAGGAGAGAGACCAATGAGAGAGAGGAGAGTACATTAAGGAGAGAGACCAGTGAGAGAGAGAGAGTACATTAAGGAGAGAGACCAATGAGAGAGAGGAGAGTACATTAAGGAGAGAGACCAGTGAGACTAGAGAGCCGAGAGAAACCAGAGAGAGACCAGAGAGAGACCAGAGAGAGACCAGAGAGAGACCAGTGAGAGAGACCAGAGGGAGACCAGAGAGAGAGAGTTTAGAGGAGAGAGACCAGAGAGAGTTTAGAGGAGAGAGACCACTATGACATCACACTCAGAGCAAGTTTCTTAACACCAAATATTGTCTGAAATGAAACATGTTCAGTCACATGTCTGTGTTTGCTCCGCCCTCTGGTGGCAGCAGAGGGAGCTGCAGGTGGAAAAGCCTTTTTACTCTTCAACCTTGTTTCTACTGAAGATAATATTCCACATTCTACATCAGGACATGACAGAGTAAACAGTCTCAGTGTTATCTTTTAATCAACACATTTCTTTAACTTTAGTCTCATAAAAACATGTTTTTGAACAGAAAGTGTCTTGAAAAAGAAAAAATGTTGTGAACTATCTGACTCTGTGGGCTGAGAGCTGATTGGCTGAGAGCTGATTGGCTGAGAGCTGATTGGCTGAGAGCTGATTGGCTGAGAGCTGATTGGCTGAGAGCTGATTGGCTGAGAGCTGATTGGCTGAGAGCTGATTGGCTGAGAAAGGGGGGTCCTATAATGGTCTGAAACTAAAAGCATGCGTCAAGTAGAAGAGAGTGGGTCTTGGTGTGGTCTGGGAGTGGTCTTCAGAGGTTCCATCTGGTTCTGGATGATGCAGGACTGGACTTGGGTTGGGTATCAGGACTTTTGGGCATGTTCAGACTTATTTGAGACTAAAGAGAGACCAGAGAGAGACTGAAGAGAGACCAGAGAGAGACCAGAGATAGACCAGAGAGAGAGACCAGAGAGAGAGACCAGAGAGAAACCTGAGAGACCAGAGAGAGAGACCAGAGAGAGAGACCAGAGAGAGACCAGAGAGAGAGACCAGAGAGAGAGACCAGAGAGAGACCAGAGAGAGACCAGAGAGAGGAAGTGTTTGAAGGACTTTACATGTTCTAAGTGGCTCAGACATGCAGGAGTCAGGACTGGACCTGGACTTGGATTTAGGGACTTGGGTCTTTGGAAGGACTTAAGGACTTGGGTCTTTGGAAGGACTTTGGACTTGGGTCTTACCCCGTCTTGAGGCTCTTCCAGGACTTGGGCGCTGAGGCTCGCCTGACCTTTCTATGACAGTGACAGACAGAGACGTTGGCCCAGGGCAGCTGCGGCTTCACTTTGCAAACACATTGGTCTTGGGCAGAGTGGGCACCATGAACAGATGGACAATGCTAACAGCTAGCTTAATGAAACCCAATAAGGAAGTGCTCATGGTGTGAGTTGGACAAGTGTTGCTCCAAGTCTCTCTGGTTCCAACGGAGATGGAAAAGTAAACTTTGTTTTGCAAAGAAGATCTACTCTTTTCTGGTCTGTTTCTGGTCTCTCTCTGGTCTCTCTCTCTGGTCTCTCTCTGGTCTCTCTCTGGTCTCTCTCTCTGGTCTCTCTCTCTGGTCTCTCTCTGGTCTCTCTCTGGTCTCTCTCTGGTCTCTCTCTGGTCTCTCTCTGGTCTCTCTCTGGTCTCTCTCACTGGTCTCTCTCTGGTCTCTCTCTGGTCTCTCTCTGGTCTCTTTCTCTGGTAGTAGGTCAATATTGTCAGAATTGTGCAGCTGTGAGAATGGGGTGTGTTGCCTTTAACTGACCACTAGGGTGCGCTGCTGCCCACGGTATATGCTGCTCTGGGACTACGGCTCCAGACTGGGACTACGGCTCCAGACTGGGACTACGGCTCCAGACTGGGACTACGGCTCCAGCTTAAGTCACAGAGAAGCTCGTGTTCTGATGGGACTAGAGGAGGTCCAGAGGTGTCAGGACCTGGTTCAGTCTCTTACCCGGGATCTGAGGACTGGTGCTGGACTGGTCACTCAGCAGCTGGGCCTGGATGGTCTCCACAACACGTTTGAACCTCCGACTCGGTCCTGACCAAAGAGAAAATCACAACAATCAATAATAATGCCTCAGTTTTATACATAGACCGTCAATGTTAAAGACGCTTTTCTCCAATTTGGAAACTAATGTGACATCACTTTGGCTTCTGTGGCTTTTTCAAAATGGCCGCAGGGAAAAAGTGAAAAAACAGATTTATGCTTCAGATGCATCAGCCTCATTCATTTAACCAGTGCATTCTAAAGTCCACAGCGACTAAACTAGACTGGTCCAAAAACATATACTCCCTCAGACAGCATCTGGAACCAAGAGGACCAAGAACCATTTTTGGACCAAGAACCACTTTTGGACCAAGAACCACTTTTGGACCAAGAACCACTTTTGGACCAAGAACCACTTTTGGACCAAGACCCACTTTTGGACCAAGAACCACTTTTGGACCAAGAACCACTTTTGGACCAAGAACCACTTTTGGACCAAGAACCACTTTTGGACCAAGACCCACTTTTGGACCAAGACCCACTTTTGGACCAAGACCCACTTTTGGACCAAGACCCACTTTTGGACCAAGAACCACTTTTGGACCAAGAACCACTTTTGGACCAAGAACCACTTTTGGACCAAGAACCACTTTTGGACCAAGACCCACTTTTGGACCAAGAACCACTTTTGGACCAAGACCCACTTTTGGACCAAGAACCACTTTTGGACCAAGAACCACTTTTGGACCAAGAACCACTTTTGGACCAAGAACCACTTTTGGACCAAGAACCACTTTTGGACCATCCTGTAACGATATTTTCGAGGGGGAAGAGGACTCCATACAAAAGCATTGGATAATTCTCTTTCTGGGTACACCCCCACAGACTACTCTCTCTGTCTGGTCTCTCTCCCTATCTCTACTCTCTCTCTCCCTTTCTCTCTACTTTCTGTATTGAAGCAGTGATGTGGCTGAGGGGCATAGAACCCGCCTCGGTTGAACCTGGTTCTGACGCTGTGCGACTGATGCATGAGCGGTGTTATGTTCGACATTAAAGCCGATAAACTTATTGGTGTTCCTCCTGACTTTGCATAACACTACACTTTCTCTCTGGTCTCTCTCCCTGTCTCTATTCTCTCTCTCTCTGGTCTCCCTCTGGACCTGTTTGTCTAATGATCCTCCATCAGTGGGACTGGACTCGGTCTTGGTCTTGGTCTGTGTGGGTTTCATTCACAGTTTGATCCACAGTCTGTCTCTGCTGCGAAGAGTCACACATTTGTACAAAACTAAATCTCAGATCTCGACCTGTGGACCAGTCCCAGTCTGAAGCCTGGACTGATCTAGACCTGTGGACCAGTCCCAGTCTGAAGCCTGGACTGATCTAGACCTGTGGACCAGTCCCAGTCTGAAGCCTGGACTGATCTCGACCTGTGGACCAGTCCCAGTCTGAAGTCTGGACTGATCTAGACTTGTGGACCAGTCCCAGTCTGAAGCCTGGACTGATCTAGACCTGTGGACCAGTCCCAGTCTGAAGCCTGGACTGATCTAGACCTGTGGACCAGTCCCAGTCTGAAGCCTGGACTGATCTAGACCTGTGGACCAGTCCCAGTCTGAAGCCTGGACTGATCTCGACCTGTGGACCAGTCCCAGTCTGAAGTCTGGACTGATCTAGACTTGTGGACCAGTCCCAGTCTGAAGCCTGGACTGATCTAGACCTGTGGACCAGTCCCAGTCTGAAGCCTGGACTGATCTAGACCTGTGGACCAGTCCCAGTCTGAAGCCTGGACTGATCTCGACCTGTGGACCAGTCCCAGTCTGAAGCCTGGACTGATCTAGACTTGTGGACCAGTCCCAGTCTGAAGCCTGGACTGATCTTGACCTGTGGACCAGTCCCAGTCTGAAGCCTGGACTGATCTAGACCTGTGGACCAGTCCCAGTCTGAAGCCTGGACTGATCTAAACCTGTGGACCAGTCCCAGTCTGCATTTACTCTCCTTCAGGAGTACTCAAGGTTAGCTCTGTGGTGGTCGTAGTAGCTCCCATGTGGCTTTCTTGTAGCTCTCTTTTATCTCAGTGATAGCTCTAAGTGGTGTCGCAGTAGCTCTCTTGTACCTCTGCAGTAGCTCTCTCTCTCATAATTCTTAAATACATATATATGCGTGTACAGTATTTATATCTATCAGTGTTAGAGCTATGTAGTGTATTAGTAGCTATCTTGTGCCTCTGTGGTAGCTCTCTCTCTCTGGTACCTCCATGTGGGGTATCAGTAGCTCTCTGTAGCTCACCTGAGAGCAGTGTGAAGGTGACAGAGTAGACGGAGCTGTCCTTGGTGGCCCCGGGGCCCTCGCTGTAGGTGATGTCCACCTGGAACTTCACTGGTTTCTGGAACACATTGGGACCAGCCGCGGTCTTGTACTCGGCCCTGAAGCTGGTCTGGGACACCACACTGTGGCTCAGGCTCGGGATCTGAGGGGTAGACCGGACTTAGACCAGAGAGGGACCAGAGAGGGACCAGAGAGAGACCAGAGGGAGACCAGAGAGAGACCAGAGGGAGACCAGAGAGAGACCAGAGAGAGACCAGAGAGAGACCAGAGAGAGACCAGAGAGGTACCAGAGAGAGACCAGAGAGAGACCAGAGAGAGACCAGAGAGAGACCAGAGAGAGACCAGAGAGAGATCAGAGAGAGACCAGAGAGAGACCAGAGAGAGACCAGAGGGAGACCAGAGAGAGACCAGAGAGAGACCAGAGAGGTACCAGAGAGAGACCAGAGAGAGACTAGAGTGAGACCAGGGAGGGACCAGAGAGAGACAAGAGAGAGACCAGAGAAACCAGAGAGGGACCAGAGTGAGACCAGAGTGAGACCAGAGAGAGACCAGAGTGAGACCAGAGTGAGACCAGAGAGAGACCAGAGTGAGACCAGAGTGAGACCAGAGAGAGACCAGAGTGAGACCAGAGTGAGACCAGAGTGAGACCAGAGTGAGACCAGAGTGAGACCAGAGAGAGACCAGAGTGAGACCAGAGTGAGACCAGAGTGAGACCAGAGAGAGACCAGAGTGAGACCAGAGTGAGACCAGAGTGAGACCAGAGTGAGACCAGAGTGAGACCAGAGTGAGCATGTTACCGAGAGGAAAGCGTGCACAATGTCAGCCTTGATAGAACCCAGAGGTTTGTCTTTGATGACCACAAAGATCTGCTCCTCCTTCTCCAGGTTTATGAAGTTACCAAACCACGACTTCTTCGCCAACCTGCACCAAACACAAGGTCAGAGACCAGCAGCAGGGACCAGCAGCCGGGACCAGCAGCCGGGACCAGCAGCCGGGACCAGCAGCCGGCACCAGCAGCCGGCACCAGCAGCCAGAACCAGGATGGCTTCCTTAAAGCTGGGGTACGGGTAAATATCAAGAAACTGAAGCCGGAGCAAGAAGAATGTTTAACAAATGTAATTGAAGCAAAGCTAAATGCTAAAGCTAGGCTAAATGCTAAAGCTAGGCTAAACGCTAAATGCCTCACTCACTCGGGCTCATTACATACGTCACGGTAAACTCAGATCCAATGGTTTCAATCTGCAAAAGGAGTTAGCCCCTCCCACCTGTTAACGGAGTCTATGGAGCACATCCAGACCTTAGTATGAAGTGAAATGAGTACTATGGTGTGGTAAGACCAGGGTAGATACGGTCTGATTTGTTCATTTTTCTTTCATGGACTCTTTCTGTTGGACAAACTATATGCATTATTTATGTGAAGAATAACAACTACAATTTAGGTGCCCCAGCTTTAACGGAAGCATTGATGGTTGGACGTGGAACTTACTCTGGAGACGAGTCTGGGGTCAGGCTGGACATGTCCTCCTGCGTCGGGACTGGACACAACAACACTTCATTAATCACAGGAAATCATAAGGACAGAATCAAAGTCAAGATTAGTCTAAAGTCCTGCTCTCAGGACTCTGAGGAGCACAGGGACTGGCCTCCTGCTGGGACTCTGAGGAGCACAGGGACCGGCCTCCTGCTGGGACTCTGAGGAGCACAGGGACTGGCCTCCTGCTGGGACTCTGAGGAGCACAGGGACTGGCCTCCTGCTGGGACTCGGAGGAGCACAGGGACTGGCCTCCTGCTGGGACTCTGAGGAGCACAGGGACTGGCCTCCTGCTGGGACTCGGAGGAGCACAGGGACTGGCCTCCTGCTGGGACTCTGAGGAGCACAGGGACCGGCCTCCTGCTGGGACTCTGAGGAGCACAGGGACCGGCCTCCTGCTGGGACTCTGAGGAGCACAGGGACAGGCCTCCTGCTGGGACTCTGAGGAGCACAGGGACTGGACTCCTGCTGGGACTCTGAGGAGCACAGGGACTGGCCTCCTGCTGGGACTCTGAGGAGCACAGGGACCGGCCTCCTGCTGGGACTCTGAGGAGCACAGGGACCGGCCTCCTGCTGGGACTCGGAGGAGCACAGGGACTGGCCTCCTGCTGGGACTCTGAGGAGCACAGGGACTGGCCTCCTGCTGGGACTCTGAGGAGCACAGGGACTGGTCTCCTGCTGGGACTCTGAGGAGCACAGGGACCGGCCTCCAGCACTTTGAGCCTTGCGTTTCAACCGTACTATACAAATAAATCGCCTTGCCTGCTTTCTGCCCTGCTCTGGGCTCTTTCTCATTTGCAGCCTTTAAAACAACAGAGGTTTATCACAGGGTTTTGTGTTCTAAAAATAACCCATAGTAAGTGCAGCCGTATGTTTTCAGGCTGTAAGCACTTTTCTAACCACATGAACTCATACATACTGTTGCTAACACGTACAGATATATACATACTGTTGCTAACACGTACAGATATATACATACTGTTGCTAACACGTACAGATATATACATACTGTTGCTAACACGTACAGATATATACATACTGTTGCTAACACGTACAGATATATACATACTGTTGCTAACACGTACAGATATATACATACTGTTGCTAACACGTACAGATATATACATACTGTTGCTAACATCTACAGATATATACATACTGTTGCTAACACTGCAGCTAACATGTACAGATGCTAACACGTACAGATGCTAACACGTACTGTTGCTAACACGTACAGATGCTAACACGTACTGTTGCTAACACGTACAGATGCTAACACGTACAGATGCTAACACGTACAGATGCTAACACGTACAGATGCTAACACGTACAGATGCTAACACGTACAGATGCTAACACGTACAGATGCTAACATGTTCAGACCATGGATCTATGATATTAACTGGATAGGGTATTACTAGCTTGTAGCTGAATAACTCATGTGCTCGGGGGATTCTCGTGGTACTGCAGACTGAACCAGACTGAACCAGACTGAACCAGACTGAACCAGACTGAACCAGACTAAATTCACGTGGGCTACCCAGAAATTTTCCCCATAGAACTAAATGCATATTAAAACAGCTCAACCTCAGCTGAAAGAGAACCTACAGCTTTAATAAAGGTCAGATTTTGTGGGGATGTTAGTGTCCCTTGTCGTCCTGAACTTTTTTTCTTCTTAAATCCTTCGGTTTTGTTTAAATCCACACTTTAGTGCCACAAACTCTGCTCCTCTGGCTCTCGCTCTAACTCCTGCTCTGATGAACTGCTCTGATTGGTCAGAGCGCGGCCGAGCCCCTCTGTGCACGTGCGTGAGACCCTCTGTGCACGTGCGTGAGACCCTCTGTGCACGTGCGTGAGACCCTCTGTGCACGTGCGTGAGACCCTCTGTGCACGTGCGTGAGACCCTCTGTGCACGTGCGTGAGACCCGGTGTGAGACCCACACACGCGTGTTTGACGCAATGCATTTTGGGAGATCATCCACTGCGCAGAACTGGGAGGACCAGACGATGCCCAAATACAGGCGAGTTTCCCATAGATCTTTGCGAGTTCCAGGTGACTTCCGCTAATCTTTCAGCCCCCATGCCGTCACAAAGCGCCACTGAGCACAACCATTCATTTGAATAGGGCGCCATCTTGGATCGCCGGGGCTTGGTTCAGACACTAACATGTACAGATGCTAACATGTACAGATGCTAACATGTTCAGATGCTAACATGTTCAGATGCTAACATGTACAGATGCTAACACGTACAGATGCTAACACGTACAGATGCTAACACGTACAGATGCTAACACGTACAGATGCTAACATGTTCAGATGCTAACATATAGAGATGCTAACATGTACACTTTAATCCTAATCTGAAAAGTGGGAGATCCTCCATTGTTAGCCTCGGCCGCTGCTGTCGGCTTCTCTTACATTTGTCTAATGATCATAATTAGTTGGAAAACATGTACTTTCCCCGTGGGCTTAAAGAGACACACACACACACACACACACACACACACACACACACACACACATACACATACACACATACATACATACATACACACACACACTCACACATACACATACACACATACACGTTTTTGTTACCTGGTGGGTCCCTTTGACAGGGCCGTTCAGAATGGGACCCATAGACATAATCTTTTTTTACCAAGACTTTAAGTAATACAAAACAGTCAATAGAAACCAAACAACTATTTTAAAGGAATTTTATTTTAGATTTTGTTTTCGAATTGCAGTGATTCTATTTTTGACATAGAATTTAATGCCACTCCATGTCCGATGTCTAAGGTCATCTGGTGAGGCATTAATGCAGGCCAGGCCAGGCCAGGCCAGGCAGTAGACTTCCCAGGGACCTTTCCAGTCTGTATGAAAGGTGTCATGGTCTTCTCCACAGCCTTCACCTCAGATGCAGACCATGGCTTTCTTACACGTTCTAGGGAGAGAAATAAAAATATATTAGCAATATACACTCCCAGGGTGAGGACCAAGCAGCCTGGCTGTAATCCCCCACCTGGTACACTTACCAGAAGGGGCACTGCCACTACCATGGGGTGCATCTGGATGAATGGTTGAAGGTTCTCCGCTTGAAGTTTCTTTTAGCCCGTCCGTTTGTGAGAGGATCTCTACTGCTCTCCCTGTCGCACAGAAAATAAAAATACAAGTGGCCTTTAGGGGAAAAAAATCATACATATTTTAATATTATCAAGAATTACCTTCAGGCTCAATTTGTATCTGGTCGAGGCTCTTTCCTTCGAATTCCGTCACTCTTCCCTGCTCCATGGCCATCAACACTTTGCTGATTTTGGCCAGCTCCAGTGTCCCCTCTGGTAGTCTGTAATATTGCCTGTGGATGCGAATGTCATGGCCGAGGAAGTTGGCAAGTATGTCCATCTCATTCTCTTTCATATTGAGAACTGTAGACATAGTAGCTATGTGCTTTCTAAGTTTGGTTGAGGATAGCATCTCTGGATGCACCGCACCACATTCTTTGGCTACCTGGCGTAGGGAGTCTGATCCCCTGATGTGGGTGTCTGCGCCCGGGCGGGAAAAGAAGTATGGGTTATGGTCAGAGATGGAACAGGCCCTTCTGTTCTCCACCAGCACCTCCATCCAAGCAATCATTTCAGGAGTCAAAAGAACCGGCACTTTCCGACTTCTTTTCCCTTTAATTTCAATGCGTTGAAAATGCTGACACAGCTTTTTCTCAAGTTGGGACAGTCCCAGAGCAATGTCAGAATGGATCCCAGTCTTACTTCTTAAGGTAAAGGCTGTCAGTGGCATCTTTGAAACCTCACCTTCCCTTCTTCGATTGAAAATGATGACCTCACAAAGAGTCAAAACTGCCAGTTTAGACCAATGCTTAGACGTTGGCTCACTTATTAGGGTTTGCACATATTCAGGTCGACATACCTCAATATGTGCATGCATGGCTCTAACGTCCTCAGTCAGAGGGAGCAGGTCCGGAGTGTTCCACTTGGCTTGCCGGAGGGTCTGTAGGGCAGCAGAAGAAACACAGACGTCCCACCTCTTCTCAAAAAGCAGCCGGCTTCGTTGGAGGTTTTTAATAAATAGTTCATCAACACAATGCTCCATTTTTGAGTCACATTCAAGAATATCTGCTAGCTTTCTGAGGCTATGGCCGAGTTTGAGGGCCAAGGATGGAGTCTTGTATTGATTTGTTTCCTCATCATATCCAGCCACAGACCTGACTGCATCAATCACATGGTTAAAGTTGGAAGGAATAAAGAAATCCTTCATTGTTTTCAGTTTCCCTGCGGTTTTTGCTTCGTTAATTAACCTACCGACTTCTCTCATTTTCTGCCTAATGTAATCATGCTTAGTCTTATCATGCCCGTGTTTTAAGTACAGGTGCTCTCCGAGTCTCAGAATCCCCTTTTCTGCTTTGACAACACCCGCGACCTCATCCTGATGCATTGCCGAAATTAAAGACCACAGCTTTTTGCTGATGCCCTCCGGTACAGGCTGGGCTAGGGAGCAGAGGGACTGGACCCTACTTCTACCTGGTTTAGCCTGGGCATCTTTCTGTGAAAGCCGGCACCTGGCCACATGCCTCCACAGCGACTTTCGCTTAAGCAATGCCCCACAGTCTATACAGTGCAAAAACTCACTGGATTTAACTGGGGAATTTGGCTGTTTAGCTGGGACTAAAGTTCCAATGCCGGCCTTTAAAACCTCAAAATTGTGCTCACGGTTTCCACTATTCCTGATCAAATCAAACTGAAGTTTACGTGCTTTAGATTTCACAGGTAGAGCCAATGCTCTGGCTACGTCACTTTCATTTCCATGTTTTCTAGTCAAATGACGGGACATTTTGTGGCAGGACATTGAACAGTAGAGGCAGAAGTGTCTCTTGCTGTAAACTCGCCCCCCATTTTTCTTCTTTTGCAGCTGCATGATAACAATCTTATTTGCCTTTGGTTCGTCACTTTCCGAGTCTTGAAGAAAAGTGTTTTTGATTTTTCTTTTTCCATACTTTTTTACAGGTTTCTTCTTGACAGTTAAATCGTCAGAATCTGAGTCGACTTCATCAATTAGGGACTCTTGACTAAGCTGCACAAACAACAAATAATTTGTAATCATTCTATATAACAATTTGAAGTCATGACTTGTAGTCAGCACTTACCAGTGGTTTGTAAGCGTGCGCTTCAGTGTGCTCCTCCATGATTTCTTGCAGCCTAATGAACCACACACTTGCACCTTTTTCTAGCCTGACACCTGATTTCCTCTGTTGTGCTGCTCCATGATTGGCTCCAGCCTCTGTTGTGCTGCTCCATGATTGGCTCCAGCCTGCTGGACTGAAATTGCCCCAGTGTGCCCCTCCTTGATATCCCGCAACCCACCACCAGGGTTCCGACACATAACACACTTTTTTCAGGAAAGTAAACCTCCAGGGGTCCTTTCCATATTTTTACAGAGACTGCATAAGGACCGTTAGAAAAGCATTACCCATTGATTATTAAGCTTGGACCAGTGGGGTCCGGTGTTCGGGCCCCACCACGTAAAACCAGTCCCCATGACGTGAGTGGAATCTCAGGTTATGGAACCCACTAGGAGTTGAAAACAAGTGCACACACACACACACACACTCTCTCACACACACACATACACATACACACATACATACATACATACACACACACACTCACACACACACATACACATACACACATACATACATACATACACACACACACTCACACACACGTACACCCACACACACACTCACATACACACATACGTACACACACACACACACACACACTCACATACACACACTCACACAATAATTATTCACTAAGAAGTCATTAGCATAAATTATGAATGAAGCGTTCAGCGGTAATGAGGAGAGAACATGTACCTCACACTAAACCTGTGTGAAAGACCCCACAGTACGCTGGTCTCTCTTTGGTCTCTCTCTGGTCTCTCTCTGGTCTCTCTGGTCTCCCTCTCTGGTCTCTCTCTGGTCTCTCTGGTCTCCCTCTGGTCTCTCTGGTCTCCCTCTGGTCTCTCTGGTCTCCCTCTGGTCTCTCTCTCTGGTCTCTCTCTGGTCTCCCTCTGGTCTCTCTCTCTGGTCTCTCTCTGGTCTCTCTCTCTGGTCTCTCTCTGGTCTCCCTCTGGTCTCCCTCTGGTCTCTCTCTGGTCTCTCTCTGGTCTCTCTCTGGTCTCCCTCTGGTCTCTCTCTGGTCTCTCTCTGGTCTCCCTCTGGTCTCCCTCTGGTCTCCCTCTCTGGTCTCTCTCTCTGGTCTCCCTCTGGTCTCTCTCTGGTCTCCCTCTGGTCTCTCTCTCTGGTCTCTCTCTGGTCTCCCTCTGGTCTCCCTTTGGTCTCTCTCTCTGGTCTCCCTCTGGTCTCTCTCTGGTCTCTCTCTCTGGTCTCTCTCTGGTCTCCCTCTGGTCTCCCTCTGGTCTCTCTCTCTGGTCTCTCTCTGGTCTCTCTCTGGTCTCCCTCTGGTCTCCCTCTGGTCTCCCTCTCTGGTCTCTCTCTCTGGTCTCCCTCTGGTCTCTCTCTGGTCTCCCTCTGGTCTCTCTCTCTGGTCTCTCTCTGGTCTCCCTCTGGTCTCCCTTTGGTCTCTCTCTCTGGTCTCCCTCTGGTCTCTCTCTCTGGTCTCTCTCTGGTCTCTCTCTGGTCTCCCTCTGGTCTCTCTCTCTGGTCTCTCTCTCTGGTCTCTCTCTCTGGTCTCTCTCTCTGGTCTCTCTCTCTGGTCTCTCTCTCTGGTCTCTCTCTCTGGTCTCTCTCTCTGTCTCTCTCTGGTCTCTCTCTGGTCTCTCTCTGGTCTCCCTCTGGTCTCTCTCTCTGGTCTCTCTCTCTGGTCTCTCTCTCTGGTCTCTCTCTCTGGTCTCTCTCTCTGGTCTCTCTCTCTGGTCTCTCTCTGGTCTCTCCCTAGTCTCTCTCTCTCTCTCTCCCTCCTCTCTCTCTCTCTCTCTCTCTCTCTCTCTCTCTCTCTCTCTCTCTCTCTCTCTCTCTCTCTCTCTCTCTCTCTCTCTCTCTCTCTCTCTCTCTCTCTCTCTCTCTCTCTCTCTCTCTCTCTCTCTCTCTCTCTCTCTCTCTCTCTCTCTCTCTCTCTCTCTCTCTCTCTCTCTCTCTCTCTCTCTCTCTCTCTCTCTCTCTCTCTCTCTCTCTCTCTCTCTCTCTCTCTCTCTCTCTCTCTCTCTCTCTCTCTCTCTCTCTCTCTCTCTCTCTCTCTCTCTCTCTCTCTCTCTCTCTCTCTCTCTCTCTCTCTCTCTCTCTCTCTCTCTCTCTCTCTCTCATTGGCCAGTAGAACAGTTCTTACCCTGCATTTTCCGGCGGTGGAACCTCGGCGATCCCAGGAAGTTATTCTTGATGGAGTTGAGGCGCGTCCTCCAGGGCACGCCGCCAATGGAGGGCGATGGCGGCGGCGTGGGGCTGGGCGTTCCCACAGGGCTCTCCTTCGGCGTGGGCACCGGGCTGGCCCTGGGCGACACCTGCGGGACGGGAGCAGCAGCGCATTTGCCGTTGCGTGGGGACATGGGCGCCACCGGAGACAGCGGGATGGACAGTTTTGGCGGCACGGTGAAGGCCGCGTGCCGTCTGACCCGCGGGCTACAGGTTGGCGTGGACTGGCCTGGTTTCACACTACAGTTTGGCGTGGACTGGCCTGGTTTCACACTACAGTTTGGCGTGGACTGGCCTGGTTTCACACTACAGTTTGGCGTGGACTGGCACAATTTCGGACCAGAATTCGCCGTGGATTGACAAGGTTTTTCACTACAATTTTGCGCCGTGGCACCGGGCGTGAGCGCTCGGCACGGCGTGGGCGGGTCCGATTTGCCCGCGCCTGAATTCTGCGTTGCGCACGGGAGCGGGTTTGAGCGTGCGGTCTGGAGCGGCTTGTCGTTGGGCCGCGGCTTGGCGGGGAGGGTCTGGGTGCGCGGGTGCATGGCGGACAGCGGAGAGAAGCCCGCCACGGTCCCCCTCGCAGCGCACATGACGCCGTTGTAGGAGAGCGGCGACACGGGGGGGGAGATGGGCGAGTGCGGGGAGCGGCTCAGGTTTGGGGACTGCGGCGGGACAAAGAGGCGTCGGTGCGGCTGTGCGTGGGGGTGAGGCGGTGGGAGGTGGGGGTGGGTGGAGCGGGTGGAGCGGGTGGAGGAGCGAGAGAGAGCAGAAAAGAAAAGACATGCCGTTAGCCGAAGAGAAGCAGTGAAGCAGCGGCAGGGATGCACCAGCAGGGGGCAGCGGCGAGTCCGTCATAACAATGTCTCCTCTTTGAAATGTGGTTACGTCACTTTAAAGCTGGGTCTGGTCTAGGTCTGGTCTGGGCCTGGGTCTAGTCTGGTCTGGGTCTGAGAAAGACCAATGAGAGACCAGAAAGAGGGACCAGAGAAACCAGAGAGTGAAACTGGAGAGAAACCAGAGAGAGAGACCAGCGAGAGACCAGAGAGAGACTAGAGAGAGACCAGAGAGAGACTAGAGAGAGAGAGACCAGAGAGAGACCAGAGAGAGACCAGAGAGAGACCAGAGAGAGACTAGAGAGAGACTAGAGAGAGACCAGAGAGAGACCAGAGAGAGACCAGAGAGAGACCAGAGAGAGACTAGAGAGAGACCAGAGAGAGACTAGAGAGAGAGAGACCAGAGAGAGACCAGAGAGAGACCAGAGAGAGACCAGAGAGAGACCAGAGAGAGACTAGAGAGAGACCGAAGATAGACCAGAGAGAGAGAGCAAAGAGAGATTAAAGGTCTGATCAAGTCTGGCAGACATCTTAGGTCATAAAGGACTGCACTGATTCTGGTTCTAGACTGGTTCTGGACTGGTCCTGAACTGGTTCTGATTCATCTTGGTTTTCCACCAGAGATGATAAGTGCTAGTAACAATAGCAACGCACCAGTAGTTAGCATTTAGCCTTTCAACATAATGGGAAATATTTCAGCGGCCTCCAACCTCACCATAATGGACCAGACCTGTGGCTTTCAGTACAAATGTTTTTCTAAAGTCCGTGTGTGTTGTGTGTTGTGTGTTGTGTGTTGGTATGTTGTGTGTTGTGTGTTGGTGTATTGTGTGTAGTGTGTTGTGTGTTGGTGTATCGTGTGTTGTGTGTTGGTGTATCGTGTGTTGGTGTATCGTGTGTTGTGTGTTGGTGTATCGTGTGTTGTGTGTTGGTGTATCGTGTGTTGGTGTATCGTGTGTTGTGTGTTGGTGTATCGTGTGTTGTGTGTTGGTGTATCGTGTGTAGTGTATCGTGTGTTGTGTGTTGATGTATCGTGTGTTGTGTGTTGGTGTATCGTGTGTTGTGTGTTGGTGTGTTGTGTGTTGGTGTATCGTGTGTTGGTGTATCGTGTGTTGTGTGTTGGGTGTTGGTGTATCGTGTGTTGGTGTATCGTGTGTTGTGTGTTGGTGTATCGTGTGTTGTGTGTTGGTGTATCGTGTGTTGTGTGTTGGTGTATCGTGTGTTGTGTGTTGGTGTATTGTGTGTAGTGTATCGTGTGTTGTGTGTTGGTGTATCGTGTGTTGGTGTATCGTGTGTTGTGTGTTGGTGTATCGTGTGTTGTGTGTTGGTGTATCGTGTGTTGGTGTATCGTGTGTTGTGTGTTGGTGTATCGTGTGTTGTGTGTTGGTGTATCGTGTGTAGTGTATCGTGTGTTGTGTGTGTGATGTTATCGTGTGTTGTGTGTTGGTGTATCGTGTGTTGTGTGTTGGTGTGTTGTGTGTTGGTGTATCGTGTGTTGTGTGTTGGTGTATCGTGTATTGTGTGTTGGTGTATCGTGTGTTGTGTGTTGGGTGTTGGTGTATCGTGTGTTGGTGTATCGTGTGTTGTGTGTTGGTGTATCGTGTGTTGTGTGTTGGTGTATCGTGTGTTGTGTGTTGGTGTATCGTGTGTTGTGTGTTGGTGTATTTGTGTGTAGTGTATCGTGTGTTGTGTGTTGGTGTATCGTGTGTTGTGTGTTGGTGTATTGTGTGTTGTGTGTTGGAGTATCGTGTGTTGTGTGTTGGTGTATCGTGTGTTGTGTGTTGGTGTATCGTGTGTTGTGTGTTGGTGTATCGTGTGTTGTGTGTTGGTGTATCGTGTGTTGGTGTATCGTGTGTTGTGTGTTGGTGTATCGTGTGTTGTGTGTTGGTGTATCGTGTGTAGTGTATCGTGTGTTGTGTGTTGGTGTATTGTGTGTTGTGTGTTGGTGTATCGTGTGTTGTGTGTTGGTGTATCGTGTGTTGTGTGTTGGTGTATCGTGTGTTGTGTGTTGGTGTATCGTGTGTTGGTGTATCGTGTGTTGTGTGTTGGTGTATCGTGTGTAGTGTATCGTGTGTTGTGTGTTGGTGTATCGTGTGTTGTGTGTTGGTGTATTGTGTGTTGTGTGTTGGTGTATCGTGTGTTGTGTGTTGTGTGTTGGTGTATCGTGTGTTGTGTGTTGGTGTATCGTGTGTTGGTGTATCGTGTGTTGTGTGTTGGTGTATCATGTGTTGGTGTATCGTGTGTTGTGTGTTGGTGTGTTGTGTGTTGGTGTATCGTGTGTTGTGTGTTGTGTGTTGGTGTATCGTGTGTTGTGTGTTGGTGTATCGTGTGTTGTGTGTTGGTGTATTGTGTGTTGTGTGTTGGTGTATCGTGTGTTGTGTGTTGGTGTATCGTGTGTTGTGTGTTGGTGTATCGTGTGTTGTGTGTTGGTGTATCGTGTGTCGTGTGTTGTGTGTTGTGTGTTGTGTATCAGTGTGTGTCCTCTCTGCGGTGCATCCCTGGGTCACAGAGCTCACACATGCAGCAGAAGCACAGATGGAAACAGTCTCAGAAAACAAAAGATCAGTGTGTGACATCACAGAGTCCGGCTCAGGCCTGACATGTGACATCACAGAGTCCGGCTCAGGCCTGACATGTGACATCACAGAGTCCAGCTCAGGCCTGACATGTGACATCACAGAGTCCGGCTCAGGCCTGACATGTGACATCACAGAGTCCGGCTCAGGCCTGACATGTGACATCACAGAGTCCAGCTCAGGCCTGACATGTGACATCACAGAGTCCGGCTCTGGCCTGACATGTGACATCACAGAGTCCGGCTCAGGCCTGACATGTGACATCACAGAGTCCAGCTCAGGCCTGACATGTGACATCACAGGTCCTTGTAAACAGCTGTATGTAAAAATATGTTCGTATTTATGGATTTATTCAGGCTTTAAACTGTTCACCTCCTGCTCCCTCTACTTTACTTTACTTTACTTTACTTTATATTGAAACAGCTGAAAGCCTGTGTTGTGGTGTGAGGACATGAGGGTCCGGGTGAATGGGAAGAAGCAGCGCTGTCCCTCGACCAAACCTGGCAAAGCAGAGGATCGGAGAGAGTGGCGCCCCGTGTGGAGAGAAAGGGGAAGACCAGCGAGAGAGACCAGCGGGAGAGACCAGAGAGAGATGAGAGAGACCAGCGAGAGAGACCAGCGGGAGAGACCAGAGAGAGATGAGAGAGACCAGAGAGAGAGACCAGCGAAAAAGACCAGCGGGAGAACTGAGACCTGAGGGACCAGAGATAGACTAGAGAGAGACCAGAGAGAGAGAGACCTGAGACTATGGAAAGACCACAGAGAAAGACAAGAGAGAGACCAGTGAGAGACCAGAGAGAGACCAGAGAGAGAGACCTGAGAGAGAGAGACCTGAGAGAGAGAGACCTGAGACTATAGAAAGACCAGAGAGAGAGACAAGAGAGAGACCAGAGAGAGACCAGAGAGAGACCAGAGAGAGACCAGAGAGAGACCAGAGAGAGACCAGAGAGAGAGACCAGAGAGAGAGACCAGAGAGAGACAAGAGAGAGACCAGAGAGAGACCAGAGAGAGAGACCAGAGAGAGACCAGAGAGAGACCAGAGAGAGACCAGAGAGAGAGACCAGAGAGAGAGACCAGAGAGAGACAAGAGAGAGACCAGAGAGAGAGAGAGACGAGAGAGTCGGGGGAGAGACTGTGTACAGAGACTTACCCTGGGGCTGCTGAGAGGACTTGTGGACAGTCCTGAAGACGCTCCACTGATGGACCGAGACCTGAGCACAGACAGAAACTCATAATTCGCTCTCTCCTCACTCTCTCTTTGCTCTCTCTTTGCTCTCTCTTCGCTCTTTCACATAAACACAACCACATGATCAGAGGACGTGAATTTGTTTATCTATTTCTGGTCCAGAGGTTTGTGTTGCAGATATAGTAGCATTTTAAATAAGTGTGTCATCTGCGCCCCTAGTGGTCAGATAAAGACATTACGCTCTGAGGAGTTTTCTGCCGTTACGACATAAGTGGAGACGAGAGAGATCAGACAGAGAGAGAGCACAGAGAGACCAGAGAAAGAGAGAGAAGTGAGAGAGAGATCAGAGAGAGAGACCAGAAAGTGACCAGAGAGAGAAACCAGAGACTCAAGAGAAACTATGAAAGAGAGAGCAAACTGAGAGAGAGAGACCAGAGAGAGAGACAACTGAGAGAGAGCATAGTGACCAGAGAGAGAGACCAGAGAGAGAGAGAAGTGAGAGAGAGAGACCAGAGAGAGAGACAACTGAGAGAGAGAGAGAAGTGAGAGAGAGAGACAACTGAGAGAGAGAGAAGTGAGAGAGAGAGACCAGAGAGAGAGACAACTGAGAGAGAGAGAGAGAAGTGAGAGAGAGAGAGACCAGAGAGAGTGACCAGAGAGAGAGAAACCATGTGTTTGCAGACAGTAGTTTTGGAAATAAAACTTTTTTAAAAATTTACCGCTCCCCCTGGTGGCAGCAAAGGGATATTCACCCTTTATACTTGTTTAATTATATTTATATTTATTATATTTTCTACTAATGATATTATCTAATTGTTAATTATTATTAATATTATTTAATTTTCTAAAACAATAAATAAGAAAATATCTGGATCCAATTAAATAAATCCACGTCGTCTTCAATGTGAGTTTTTACAATCACAGGAAAAGATGAATGAGATGGAAACATTCATACACACAAGGAGGAGCTACAACAGCACCTCCTCCTTCTCTGACCTCCTCCATCTCTGACCTCCTCCATCTCTGACCTCCTCCATCTCTGACCTCCTCCATCTCTGACCTCCTCCATCTCTGACCTCCTCCATCTCTGACCTCCTCCATCTCTGACCTCCATCTCTGACCTCCTCCATCTCTGACCTCCTCCATCTCTGACCTCCTCCATCTCTGACCTCCATCTCTGACCTCCTCCATCAGTGACCTCCTCCATCACTGACCTCCTCCATCTCTGACCTAGTAAGTAAGTAAGTAAGTAAGCTTTATTTATATACCGCCTTTCACAGACCAGAGTCACAAAGCGGTTTACAATTGTTATTTTTTGGGCATTTGTCTCTCACTCCACACAGAGATGGGAGCGGGGTCGCCAAACAGGAGGCGCATGCCAGACCTATTGTACATATTTTTAGTGGTAGGGAAAACCGGAGTACCCGGAGGAAACCTACGCAGACACGGGGAGAACATGCAAACTCCACTCAGAAAGGCCCTGGTCCGGCCGGGATTCGAACCCAGGACCTTCTTGCTGAGAGGCGAGAGTGCTATCCACTCAGCCACCGTGCCGCCCCACCTCCTCCATCTCTGACCTCCTCCATCTCTGACCTCCTCCATCTCTGACCTCCTCCATCTCTGACCTCCATCTCTGACCTCCTCCATCTCTGACCTCCTCCATCTCTGACCTCCTCCATCTCTGACCTCCTCCATCTCTGACCTCCTCCATCACTGACCTCCTCCATCTCTGACCTCCTCCATCTCTGACCTCCTCCATCTCTGACCTCCTCCATCAGTGACCTCCTCCATCACTGACCTCCTCCATCTCTGACCTCCTCCTTCACTGACCTCCTCCATCTCTGACCTCCTCCATCTCTGACCTCCTCCATCAGTGACCTCCTCCATCACTGACCTCCTCCATCTCTGACCTCCTCCATCAGTGACCTCCTCCATCACTGACCTCCTCCATCTCTGACCTCCTCCTTCACTGACCTCCTCCATCTCTGACCTCCTCCATCTCTGACCTCCTCCATCAGTGACCTCCTCCATCACTGACCTCCTCCATCTCTGACCTCCTCCATCTCTGACCTCCTCCATCACTGACCTCCTCCTCCATCACTGACCTCCTCCATCAGTGACCTCCTCCATCTCTCTCCTCCATCAGTGACCTCCTCCATCACTGACCTTCTCCTTCACTGACCTCCTCCATCTCTGACCTCCTCCATCTCTGACCTCCTCCATCATCTCTGACCTCCTCCATCTCTGACCTCCTCCATCTCTGACCTCCTCCTTCTCTGACCTCCTCCATCTCTGACCTCCTCCTTCACTGACCTCCTCCATCTCTGACCTCCTCCATCTCTGACCTCCTCCATCTCTGACCTCCTCCATCTCTGACCTCCTCCATCAGTGACCTCCTCCATCTTTGACCTCCTCCATCTCTGACCTCCTCCATCAGTGACCTCCTCCATCTCTGACCTCCTCCATCTCTGACCTCCGCCATCTCTGACCTCCTCCATCACTGACCTCCTCCATCTATGACCTCCTCCATCTCTGACCTCCTCCATCTCTGACCTCCTCCATCTCTGACCTCCTCCTTCACTGACCTCCTCCTTCACTGACCTCCTCCATCTCTGACCTCATCCATCAGTGACCTCCTCCATCAGTGACCTCCTCCATCTCTGACCTCCTCCATCTCTGACCTCCATCTCTGACCTCCTCCATCAGTGACCTCCTCCATCTCTGACCTCCTCCATCTCTGACCTCCTCCATCTCTGACCTCCATCATCTCTGACCTCCTCCATCTCTGACCTCCTCCATCAGTGACCTCCTCCATCTCTGACCTCCTCCATCTCTGACCTCCTCCATCATCTCTGACCTCCTCCATCTCTGACCTCCTCCATCTCTGACCTCCTCCTTCTCTGACCTCCTCCATCTCTGACCTCCTCCTTCACTGACCTCCTCCATCTCTGACCTCCTCCATCTCTGACCTCCTCCATCTCTGACCTCCTCCATCTCTGACCTCCTCAATCAGTGACCTCCTCCATCTCTGACCTCCTCCATCTCTGACCTCCTCCATCAGTGATCTCCTCCATCTCTGACCTCCTCCATCTCTGACCTCCGCCATCTCTGACCTCCTCCATCACTGACCTCCTCCATCTCTGACCTCCTCCATCTCTGACCTCCTCCATCTCTGACCTCCTCCTTCACTGACCTCCTCCTTCACTGACCTCCTCCATCTCTGACCTCATCCATCAGTGACCTCCTCCATCAGTGACCTCCTCCATCTCTGACCTCCTCCATCAGTGACCTCCTCCATCTCTGACCTCCTCCATCTCTGACCTCCTCCATCTCTGACCTCCATCATCTCTGACCTCCTCCATCTCTGACCTCCTCCATCAGTGACCTCCTCCATCACTGACCTCCTCCATTTCTGACCTCCTCCATCTTCTCTGACCTCCTCCATCTCTGACCTCCTCCATCTCTGACCTCCTCCTTCACTGACCTCCTCCTCCATCTCTGACCTCCTCCATCACTGACCTCCTCCATCTCTGACCTCCTCCTTCTCTGACCTCCTCCATCTCTGACCTCCTCCTTCACTGACCTCCTCCATCTCTGACCTCCTCCATCATCTCTGACCTCCTCCATCTCTGACCTCCTCCATCACTGACCTCCTCCATCTCTGACCTCCTCCATCTCTGACCTCCTCCATCAGTGACCTCCTCCATCACTGACCTCCTCCATCTCTGACCTCCTCCATCACTGACCTCCTCCTCCATCACTGACCTCCTCCATCTCTGACCTCCTCCATCTCTGACCTCCTCCATCTCTGACCTCCTCCATCTCTGACCTCCTCCATCAGTGACCTCCTCCATCTCTGACCTCCTCCATCTCTGACCTCCTCCATCAGTGACCTCCTCCATCTCTGACCTCCTCCATCTCTGACCTCCTCCATCTCTGACCTCCTCCATCAGTGACCTCCTCCATCTCTGACCTCCTCCATCTCTGACCTCCTCCATCATCTCTGACCTCCATCATCTCTGACCTCCTCCATCAGTGACCTCCTCCATCTTTGACCTCCTCCATCTCTGACCTCCTCCATCTCTGACCTCCTCCATCTCTGACCTCCTCCTTCACTGACCTCCTCCTCCATCTCTGACCTCCTCCATCACTGACCTCCTCCATCTCTGACCTCCTCCATCTCTGACCTCCTCCATCTCTGACCTCCTCCATCTCTGACCTCCTCCATCTTCTCTGACCTCCTCCATCTCTGACCTCCTCCATCTCTGACCTCCTCCATCTCTGACCTCCTCCATCAGTGACCTCCTCCATCAGTGACCTCCTCCATCTCTGACCTCCTCCATCTCTGACCTCCATCTCTGACCTCCTCCATCAGTGACCTCCTCCATCTCTGACCTCCTCCATCTCTGACCTCCTCCATCATCTCTGACCTCCATCATCTCTGACCTCCTCCATCTCTGACCTCCTCCATCACTGACCTCCTCCATCTCTGACCTCCTCCATCATCTCTGACCTCCTCCATCTCTGACCTCCTCCATCACTGACCTCCTCCATCACTGACCTCCTCCTTCACTGACCTCCTCCATCTCTGACCTCCTCCTTCACTGACCTCCTCCATCTCTGACCTCCTCCATCTCTGACCTCCTCCATCATCTCTGACCTCCTCCATCATCTCTGACCTCCTCCATCTCTGACCTCCTCCATCATCTCTGACCTCCTCCATCATCTCTGACCTCCTCCATCTCTGACCTCCTCCATCTCTGACCTCCTCCTTCACTGACCTCCTCCTTCACTGACCTCCTCCATCTCTGACCTCATCCATCAGTGACCTCCTCCATCAGTGACCTCCTCCATCTCTGACCTCCTCCATCTCTGACCTCCATCTCTGACCTCCTCCATCAGTGACCTCCTCCATCTCTGACCTCCTCCATCTCTGACCTCCTCCATCTCTGACCTCCATCATCTCTGACCTCCTCCATCTCTGACCTCCTCCATCAGTGACCTCCTCCATCACTGACCTCCTCCATTTCTGACCTCCTCCATCTTCTCTGACCTCCTCCATCTCTGACCTCCTCCATCTCTGACCTCCTCCTTCACTGACCTCCTCCTCCATCTCTGACCTCCTCCACCACTGACCTCCTCCATCTCTGACCTCCTCCTTCTCTGACCTCCTCCATCTCTGACCTCCTCCTTCACTGACCTCCTCCATCTCTGACCTCCTCCATCATCTCTGACCTCCTCCATCTCTGACCTCCTCCATCACTGACCTCCTCCATCTCTGACCTCCTCCATCAGTGACCTCCTCCATCACTGACCTCCTCCATCTCTGACCTCCTCCATCACTGACCTCCTCCTCCATCACTGACCTCCTCCATCTCTGACCTCCTCCATCTCTGACGTCCTCCATCTCTGACCTCCTCCATCTCTGACCTCCTCCATCAGTGACCTCCTCCATCTCTGACCTCCTCCATCTCTGACCTCCTCCATCAGTGACCTCCTCCATCTCTGACCTCCTCCATCTCTGACCTCCTCCATCTCTGACCTCCTCCATCAGTGACCTCCTCCATCTCTGACCTCCTCCATCTCTGACCTCCTCCATCATCTCTGACCTCCATCATCTCTGACCTCCTCCATCAGTGACCTCCTCCATCTCTGACCTCCTCCATCTCTGACCTCCTCCATCTCTGACCTCCTCCATCTCTGACCTCCTCCTTCACTGACCTCCTCCTCCATCTCTGACCTCCTCCATCACTGACCTCCTCCATCTCTGACCTCCTCCATCTCTGACCTCCTCCATCTCTGACCTCCTCCATCTCTGACCTCCTCCATCTTCTCTGACCTCCTCCATCTCTGACCTCCTCCATCTCTGACCTCCTCCATCTCTGACCTCCTCCATCAGTGACCTCCTCCATCAGTGACCTCCTCCATCTCTGACCTCCTCCATCTCTGACCTCCATCTCTGACCTCCTCCATCAGTGCCTCCTCCATCTCTGACCTCCTCCATCTCTGACCTCCTCCATCATCTCTGACCTCCATCATCTCTGACCTCCTCCATCTCTGACCTCCTCCATCTCTGACCTCCTCCATCTCTGACCTCCTCCATCACTGACCTCCTCCATCTCTGACCTCCTCCATCATCTCTGACCTCCTCCATCTCTGACCTCCTCCATCATCTCTGACCTCCTCCATCATCTCTGACCTCCTCCATCTCTGACCTCCTCCATCATCTCTGACCTCCTCCATCTCTGACCTCCTCCATCTCTGACCTCCTCCTTCACTGACCTCCTCCATCTCTGACCTCCTCCATCTCTGACCTCCTCCATCATCTCTGACCTCCTCCATCATCTCTGACCTCCTCCATCTCTGACCTCCTCCATCATCTCTGACCTCCTCCATCATCTCTGACCTCCTCCATCTCTGACCTCCTCCATCTCTGACCTCCTCCATCTCTGACCTCCTCCATCTCTGACCTCCTCCATCATCATCTGAACCCTGAGGACCGAGTCTGGACCCTGAGGACCGAGTCTGAACCCTGAGGACCGAGTCTGGACCCTGAGGACCGAGTCTGGACCCTGAGGACCGAGTCTGAACCCTGAGGACCGAGTCTGAACCCTGAGGACCGAGTCTGAACCCTGAGGACCGAGTCTGAACCCTGAGGACCGAGTCTGAACCCTGAGGACCGAGTCTGAACCCTGAGGACCGAGTCTGAGCCCTGAGGACCGAGTCTGGACCCTGAGGACCTCTTTCTGGACCCAAACCATCAGAAACTCGGACTCACCACAGAACTTTAAATCCTTCTCAAAACCCAACCCAGTGTGACATCACCATAGTAGAGAAGCCCCGCCCACAAATGAAGGCCTCTGATTGGTCAATCCTTATATGGTTAATTTCTCAAAGACAATATCACGATATAAACACCAGGATCACAGCGAGCGCTAAACCACAGACTTCGATCCCACGATGCAAAAATAAGATTTTTTATTTCGTCAATTTTAAGCCATCCATCCATAATTTTCTTCCGCTTTATCCGTTGCTGGGTCAGCCGTCTGAACAGAGAGGCCCAGAGGTCCCTCTGCACTCACTCACTGTATTTCTGTGTCGCCTTTTGTCATGAATATGTTGTATTTATATAATATTATGCAGTTACAGATGTAGTACCAGTGTCAGACAGACAGGGGGCGTGGCCATGCTCAGAACACACAGACTCAGGTGAAGATGGGTGCTCTGTGAGGATGAGGTGAACATGGGCAGAGCGGCCTGTAGGGGGCAGTACCTCTCCTCCTTGCTGCTAGCGTTTGTGATATCCAAGCTTTTACTGAACACAGATTTGCTAAAAGAAAAGTGAAAAACAGAAAAGGCAGAAGAAGAAATCTCAAGGTCAGCAAGGATCGCTGGGCATGCAAAAGGGTGCGCTAACATACACATGCTAACATACACATGCTAAAGAGTGCGCTAACATACACATGCTAACTTACACAAGCTAACATACATATGCTAATGTACATATGCTAACATACACATGCTAACACCGTGCTAACCACTGTCGGGTCCAGGCTGAAGCTAACCGTCACTAATGGGTTGTTTTAAAGTGGTTCTCACCCCCGCTCCTCGGAGTTTACGTCACTCACATTTCCTGTTCAAATCTTCCTCTAAATGGGCGTAGCCTGGAGGACTAAAGGGGGCGTGAACGAGACTGGGCCGTTTACATTGCTCTGGGCGGGGGGCTGCTGACGTCAGGTCTTGCTTCAGACGTCAGGTCTTGCTGCCGCGCCAGTGTTGGCGCCAGATTCAAAATTCAAATGTAGTAACACAGGTCGCCAGCAGATGGCGCCTCACAGACGGTTTTAGGCAGAAAGTTTAACTTTCAACTAATTTGCACCAAAGTGACAAAAATATGACTAGGATATGTAGACAACACTATTGGACACTCATTTATACAGTTTATCAGCAAAAAAAAGTGGATTTGAGGGTGAGTTGTCCTTTAAAGAAGTGTATTTATGCAGGTGCCAAGAATATGCTACGGAAAGATTTTGAAAGTTTGCCTCTCTGGTTTCTATCTCTGGTCTCTGTCTGGTCTCTGGTCCCTCTCTTGTCTGTCTCTCTGGTCACTCTCTCTCTCCTTGCTCTCTCTCTCTCTGGTCTCTTTCTGCATGCTGACTACAGAGAGCTAGCATGCTGACTACAGAGAGCTAGCATGCTGACTACAGAGAGCTAGCATGCTGACTACAGAGAGCTAGCATGCTGACTACAGAGAGCTAGCATGCTGACTACAGAGAGCTAGCATGCTGACTACAGAGAGCTAGCATGCTGACTACAGAGAGCTAGCATGCTGACTACAGAGAGCTAGCATGCAGACTACAGAGAGCTAGCATGCTGACTACAGAGAGCTAGCATGCAGACTACAGAGAGCTAGCATGCAGACTACAGAGAGCTAGCATGCTGACTACAGAGAGCTAGCATGCTGACTACAGAGAGCTAGCATGCTGACTACAGAGAGCTAGCATGCTGACTACAGAGAGCTAGCATGCTGACTACAGAGAGCTAGCATGCTGACTACAGAGAGCTAGCATGCTGACTACAGAGAGCTAGCATGCTGACTACAGAGAGCTAGCATGCTGACTACAGAGAGCTAGCATGCTGACTACAGAGAGCTAGCATGCTGACTACAGAGAGCTAGCATGCTGACTACAGAGAGCTAGCATGCTGACTACAGAGAGCTAGCATGCTGACTACAGAGAGCTAGCATGCTGACTACAGAGAGCTAGCATGCTGACTACAGAGAGCTAGCATGCTGACTACAGAGAGCTAGCATGCTGACTACAGAGAGCTAGCATGCAGACTACAGAGAGCTAGCATGCAGACTACAGAGAGCTAGCATGCAGACTACAGAGAGCTAGCCAGAGCACATGAATGGGATTCACGCTGGAGTCCTATGAGTTTTTAAAAACATTTTAAAACCTTGTTCTTTCTCAAATGAAGCAAACACAGATTTGTTCATGTCTGATTTCTGTATTTGAGATTTCAGACTTTCACCTCCTGCGAATGTCGGGTCAATGAAGTCACAATCTTTCAACATAAAAACATACAAAGGTCCTTTTAATGTTGGCGCATGAGAAACACATCAGCGAGAGACCACTGTAACAAAGAACCTCCATTTCAGACTCCTCTAGACCTGTGGACCAGTCCCAGTCTGCACCCTGGACTCCTCTAGACCTGTGGACCAGTCCCAGTCTGCACCCTGGACTCCTCTAGACCTGTGGACCAGTCCCAGTCTGCACCCTGGACTCCTCTAGACCTGTGGACCAGTCCCAGTCTGCACCCTGGACTCCTCTAGACCTGTGGACCAGTCCCAGTCTGCACCCTGGACTCCTCTAGACCTGTGGACCAGTCCCAGTCTGCACCCTGGACTCCTCTAGACCTGTGGACCAGTCCCAGTCTGCACCCTGGACTCCTCTAGACCTGTGGACCAGTCCCAGTCTGCACCCTGGACTCCTCTAGACCTGTGGACCAGTCCCAGTCTGCACCCTGGACTCCTCTAGACCTGTGGACCAGTCCCAGTCTGCACCCTGGACTCCTCTAGACCTGTGGACCAGTCCCAGTCTGCACCCTGGACTCCTCTAGACCTGTGGACCAGTCCCAGTCTGCACCCTGGACTCCTCTAGACCTGTGGACCAGTCCCAGTCTGCACCCTGGACTCCTCTAGACCTGTGGACCAGTCCCAGTCTGCACCCTGGACTCCTCTAGACCTGTGGACCAGTCCCAGTCTGCACCCTGGACTCCTCTAGACCTGTGGACCAGTCCCAGTCTGCACCCTGGACTCCTCTAGACCTGTGGACCAGTCCCAGTCTGCACCCTGGACTCCTCTAGACCTGTGGACCAGTCCAAGTCTGCACCTCCATCCACATGCTAACACCATGATGGAGGAGGTCATGACTGACCTCCTCCATCATCACCTGAACCCTGAGGACCGAGTCTGAACCCTGAGGACCGAGTCTGAACCCTGAGGACCGAGTCTGAACCCTGAGGACCGAGTCTGGACCCTGAGGACCTCTTTCTGGACCCAAACCATCAGAAACTCGGACTCACCACAGAACTTTAAATCCTTCTCAAAACCCAAATGAGGAGTGGGCCGAGTGTGACATCACCATAGTAGAGAAGCCCCGCCCACAAATGAAGGCCTCTGATTGGTCAATCCTTATATGGTTAATTTCTCAAAGACAATATCACGATATAAACACCAGGATCACAGTGAGCGCTAAACCCATGGATGTATTATAATAACTGGATAGGGTGTTACTAGCTTGTAGCTGAATAACCATGTGCTCAGGGGATTCTCGCGGTACTGCAGACTGAACCAGACTAAATTCACGTGGGCTACCCAGAAATTTTTCCCATAGAACTCAATGCAAATTAAAACAGCTCAACCTCAGCTGAAAGAGAACCTACAGCTTTCATTAAGGTCGGATTTTGTGGGGATTTTAGTGTCCCTTGTCATCCTGAACTTTTTTTCTTTTTAAATCAATAGGTTTTCTTTTAATCTTCACTTTAGTGCAACAAACTCTGCTCTCTTTTTCCCGCTCTTCCGCCGCTCTAGCATCCGCAGCTCGCTGATTGGTCAAGACGTTGCCAAGCCCCTCTGCTCGCGTGCATGAGAACCATACGAGCGTGCGTTCCTCGCGTGAACGCGCTCCATTCGGCTCTGTTGATGACAGAGGAGCGAGGGAGGAAACTGAACCGAACTGACCAGATAAACACGAAATGTACATTGACAGCATTGTTGTGGTTATTGTTAGCTTCATTAAGAGTCTATGTATGGTCTTTCCTACAGCGTTTGGAGTCGTGTGAATTCGTATGACAGTCATTTATACCAATATGAGTACAATAAACATAGCTATTGACTTTACAGCGTCCATATCAAAACCGAACTCAAACGTGATGATTACACAAGAGCTGGCGAGAGAGTTTAGGTATTCACCATGAATGTTGTAACCCTGCCAGTCAAAGGCAGCACAGACACACACATTTTAAGTAAATGCATTCATGTTTTGCTGTAATACATGTGGCAAGTGCTAATGCAGATTAGGATTCACATTGTAATTTAAAATAAATAAATGTTGTTGCTTAGTTCGATCGCCCTTCAGTTTTCTACTCATGGTCATTGTAAATCAAAAATGTACAAATCTCATCTTAATTACATAAAATCGAAACATATTTAAATGTATTGAAATGTTTCTATTTACAACAAAATAACAGAAGTAGGAATCACTAGCATTCATGTGGTGACAATAATATTATTCTATATGTTCAAGTTAGATTGTCTGTCATTCTCTTAAAATGTGTTGTACATAACTCTTGCATGGCTCTAAATACAGTTCATTTGCTGTGAAAAAAATGACGGTTTTAGTTTTTATACATACTTGAATATCCTATTATAGACAGCTGAAACAAATACGTGGCTTAACTAGTTTTGTTTTATTTAACCAGAAAAGTCCCATTGAGATAAAGAACCCCTTTTTCAAGGGAGTCCTGAATATATACTCTACCGTTCAAAAGTTTGGGGTCACATTGAAATGTCCTCAATGTTGAAGGAAAAGCTGTAGATAACTTTAAACTAGTCTTAACTGTAAAGAAATACACTATACATTGCTTATGTGGTAAATGACTGCTGTTCTAGCTGCAAATGTCTGGTTTTTGGTGCAATGTTGTAATTGCTGCAAATGGAGGATTCTTTGACAAAAGCAAAGTTGGATGTAAAAAAATCTTATTTCTAATACAAATCATTATTTCTAACGTTGTCAATGTCTTGACTCTATTTTCTATTCATTTCACAACGTGTGGTGGTGAACAAGTGTGACTTTTCATGGAAAACACACACACACACATATATATATATACATACATAATGTGTGTGTGCATATAGAGAATAATACTTATTAATTACGTTAATATAATAATTACAATTCACGAGGACAAAAGACTAAATCATAGCTTTTTGATCTATCCACAATGGTCTTAATTATCTTGCAGTACTTGTTAACACATCACTGACATTTTGCTTAAAACACGACGGCCTACAGGTGAATGCCACAGTATAAGCGTTACGAAAAAGTATATAATCATTGTACATTTAGTTTATCATAAATACTTAGTAGATAATGATTAAGAATCAACAACAAGAAGGCTCTGTCATACTGCTCTACACCATCTTAAAATAATTGATCAATTGTACATATATTTTAATATCAATCTTTACTTAAACAGTGATAGAACTTAATTCGCTCGATTCATGCGCGTTCACGAGTCTGTGGTGCTGCACGCTCCCGCTTGAGGTCCGCGTTCTCGTCGTTCGAGGCACAAAGCATTATGGGAGGTCATCCACTGCGCATAACCGGGAGGACCAGAGGATGCCCAAATACAGGCGATTTTCCCATAGATCTTTGAGAGTTCCAGGCGACTTCCGCTAATCTTTCAGCCCCCATGCCGTCACAAAGCGCCACTGAGCACAACCATTCATTTGAATAGGGCGCCATCTTGGATCGCCGGGGCTTGGCTAAACCACAGACTTCTTAGTTCTTTACAATCCCACGATGCAAACATCAAGTTAGTCATGTTTATTTATGTAGCGCCTTTCACCGACGAGTGAGGGCTTTACGATTGTTCTGTCTTTCACTCCAGGGCCTAAAAGCTAAGCTAATGCTAAGCTAATGCTAAGCTAATGCTAAGCTAATGCTAAGCTAATGCAGCTTCCTGGGAGTTCACCAACCAACTTTACAAATACAACGTGTAGAACTTGTCTGAAGTTTTGTAAATGAATGGTTTTAGTGGTGACTGTAGCAGACACAGGGAGAACATGCAAACTCCACACAGCAAGGCCTGGAGGTGGAATCGAACCCATGCCCAAAGTGCAGCTAAAGATGTGACAGAGGCCTACAGTACAGGATGTGAAAACTAGTCAAATAATTAAACTGATTTAGATCCAGAATATTTGTGTAAAACAGTTTCCGCCAAATTAAAAATATTTTGCTTTTCTACCGTTTCCTCCAAACCTCCTGTGACCCTCAAAGGTTGTTCTCCGGCTCCGTCCCGTGGCGCTCACCTCTGCCCGTGGTTGGCCATGTCCAGCGCCCGTCGCACCGGCACCGGCGACCCTCCGTCCGTCACGGTCAGGACCTCCATGGACTTACGCTCCGGACGGCGTTTGGCGTGACGGCTCAGCATCGGCGAGTCCACACGCTTACGGGGCGGGTCTGCTGGAGTCACACACAGGTCAGTCCTGGGTCTACAGCCTCAGTCCTGGGTCTACAGCCTCAGTCCTGGGTCTACAGTCTCAGTCCTGGGTCTACCGCCTCAGTCCTGGGTCGACAGCCTCAGTCCTGGGTCTACAGTCTCAGCCCTGGGTCTAACAGCCTCAGTCCTGGGTCTACAGCCTCAGTCCTGGGTCTACAGCTTCAGCCCTGGGTCTACAGCCTCAGTCCTGGGTCTACAGGCTTAGTCCTGGATCTACAGGCTTAGTCCTGGATCTACAGCCTTAGTCCTGGGTCTACAGGCTTAGTCCTGGATCTACAGCCTTAGTCCTGGGTCTACAGGCTTAGTCCTGGATCTACAGCCTTAGTCCTGGATCTACAGCCTCAGTCCTGGGTCTCATGTTTCATGGTTGGACTTTTTACCAATCTCGCTTCTGGGCGGCAGGTTCTGGTCCTCGTGACTCGGGAACCGCTCTTTCCGGTCCAGCAGCAGGAAGTAGATCATCTTCTCCTGATTCTCACTGAAACAGAACAGAACTTTAGCTGTTGGAAAAGTCAGGGACCGCAGCTTTAAGCCTCAAGATTCATGTGTTTGTGGAAGTGTGGCCTCTTATACGTTGTCCTCATAGACTATAGACAGTGTTGCCAGCTCAGTGAAGCCCAATAGGGAAGTGCTCATGGAGGAAGTTTTGCACCACCTCACTCTGGCTCCTATTGACTCACATGTAAAAGTAAACTCCTCTGTTTGGGGCTCGCTGTGATCCTGGGGTTTATATTGTGTTCTTTCATCCACCCATTTTTGACCCGGCAACGGATGAAGCGGAAGAAAATGGATGGATGGAAGATCACAATATAGACACCAGGATCACAGAGGAGAGGAGAGAGAGGAGAGGAGAGAGAGGAGAGAGAGGAGAGGAGAGGAGAGGAGAGAGAGGAGAGGAGAGAGAGGAGAGAGAGAGGAGAGGAGAGAGAGGAGAGAGAGGAGAGGAGAGGAGAGGAGAGGAGAGAGGAGAGAGAGGAGAGGAGAGGAGGAGGAGAGAGAGAGGAGAGGAGAGAGAGGAGAGAGGAGAGGAGAGAGAGAGGAGAGGAGAGAGAGGAGAGGAGAGAGGAGAGGAGAAAGAGGAGACAGAGGAGAGAGGAGAGGAGAGGAGAGAGAGGAGAGGAGAGGAGAGGAGAGAGGAGAGGAGAGGAGAGAGAGGAGCGAGGAGAGGAGAGAGAGAGGAGAGGAGAGAGAGGAGCGAGGAGAGGAGAGAGAGAGGAGAGGAGAGAGAGGAGAGGAGAGAGGAGAGGAGAAAGAGGAGACAGAGGAGAGAGGAGAGGAGAGGAGAGGAGAGAGAGGAGAGGAGAGGAGAGGAGAGAGAGGAGAGGAGAGAGGAGAGGAGAGGGGAGAGAGGAGAGGAGAGAGAAGGGAGCGGAGAGAGAGGAGAGGAGAGGAGAGAGGAGAGAGAGGAGAGGAGAGAGAGGAGAGAGGAGAGGAGAGAGAGGAGAGAGAGGAGAGAGAGAGGAGAGGAGAGAGGAGAGGAGAGGAGAGAGAGGAGAGAGGCGAGGAGAGGAGAGGAGAGGAGAGAGAGTAGAGAGGAGAGAGGAGAGAGAGGAGAGGAGAGAGAGGAGAGGAGAGAGAAGGAGCGGAGAGAGAGAGAGAGGAGAGAGAGAGAGAGAGGAGAGAGAGAGAGGAGAGAGAGAGAGAGAGAGGAGAGAGAGGAGAGAGAGGAGAGAGGAGAGGAGAGGAGAGGAGGAGAGGAGAGAGAGAGAGGAGAGAGGGGAGAGAGAGAGGAGAGAGAGGAGAGAGAGGAGAGAGGAGAGGAGAGGAGAGGGGAGAGAGGAGAGAGAGGGGAGGGGAGAGAGGGGAGAGAGGAGAGAGAGGAGAGAGGAGAGAGAGGAGAGAGGAGAGGAGAGAGAGGAGAGGAGAGAGAGGGAGAGAGGAGAGAGAGGAGAGAGGAGAGAGGAGAGAGAGGAGAGGAGAGAGAGGGAGAGAGAGAGGAGAGAGAGGAGAGAGAGAGGAGAGAGGAGAGGAGGAGAGGAGAGGGGAGAGAGAGAGAGAGAGAGAGGAGGAGAGGAGGAGAGAGGAGAGGAGAGAGAGAGAGGAGAGAGAGAGGAGAGGTGAGAGAGGAGAGGAGAGGAGAGGAGAGGAGAGAGAGGAGAGAGGAGAGAGAGAGGAGAGGAGAGAGAGAGGAGAGGAGAGAGAGAGGAGAGAGGAGAGGAGAGGAGAGAGAGAGAGGAGAAAGAGAGGAGAGGAGAGGAGAGGAGAGAGGAGAGGAGAGAGGAGAGAGAGGAGAGGAGAAAGAAGAGATAGAGAAGAGGAGAGGAGAGAGAGAGGAGAGATTTTTGATTTTTAACAGACCTTTATTTGTCCGTTAAACAGGTTAAACTACATCACATATTACACATTGTAATGTATAGGAAAAACACAGTTTAAAAATCCGGACATAAAAGTGCAAATACTGGCAATAAATAAACGATGCAACACTTCACACACTTCAATTCATAGGTTTACAACGATAAAAATGCAGAAAAAAACAGCTCCCCGTCCCTCACAGAGCACACCTCCCTGAACCCCCAGCGCTCCTCAAACCCCTCCTGATCCCCATTTATCCTGTAGAGACCGAACTCCAGCCTGAGTCTGGCCTGGACCATCCGGACCAGCAGAGCCCTGGGACTGACCTCACCCTGGTCCTGGACCATCCTCCTCCTGCTCACATAGACGGCCATCTTGGCCTGACCGACAAGGAAACTGAGCAGCCGCCCCCTCCTCCTGCTGCGGTTGGAGTACCTGACCCCCCCCACCCCCCCCCCCCACAAACACCTGAGCATTAAACTCTGCCCCCAGTGAAGTGAAGAGGCCCCTCAGCAGCTCCAGCATGTGCCTGAGCCTCCCACACTCCCAGAAGCAGTGGAACACTGTCTCCCTCTCCCCACAGAAGGGACAGCCCTCCCCCACAGCCCTGTTCACCCTACACACAAAGGCAT